TGTGGACCCAACGAGACACATGTTTGCACTTGGAACCACACCATGATGTAGTGGTTAGGCTCGTCGCCCCACGGGTTGCCAGTTTGAATCCCGGGTTAACTGAGGATCCTTCTGTGGGTGTCTGTTTAGCAGCAGAACAATTACAGGGAAAACAAAGGAGGTCATTTGAAGCTGTTGACTATGAGTGGTTGGTATTGATAGTGTCACCTCTGACAACAGTTTTATCATCACGTCTTTGTCAAGTGTTGAGTTGTTTTATAATAAATGTCATACTGTAGATGTTGAGTCGTTTTATAATAAATGTCATACTGTAGATATAAAAACATCAATGGAAAACTGTTAAAATGATTAAAGAGGAATTGCGTCTCAATGTGTCTTAGAACTCGTTGATTTACCTCTTCTTTTTGTGTGTACAATGATTAAAGAGGAATTGGGTCTCAATTCTTAGACAACACAAAGAAACGCAGGTTGTGATCACTGCACAAAGAAAGATTATTTTTTCAATGTGTCTTAGAACTTGTTGATTTACCTCTTCTTTTTGTGTGTATCTTGTAAAATTAGGCTGATTTTCTTTTTCAAGGTTTCCCAAATCAGCATGAAAAACAAAACCTATTTGTGAAGAGATTTTCCTTTTTGTGTTTTGCAGACATTGACGAGTGTGAGACCAACTCTCATCACTGCAACCCCACCCAGGTGTGCATCAACACATCAGGTGGCTACACCTGCTCCTGCAACGAGGGATACTGGCTGATTGGTGGACAATGTCAGGGTGAGAGACCTTCATTTAGTCAACCTGCAGAGGTTGAACACCGTTTGTGTTCGGTAAAAGCTCCTGGCATGTAAGGCGTACTTTATCTGGAAGAACAGTGCCCTCTTCAGGTTATAGGACCGTAAAGCAGCTAACTTGTTTTGTTTGTTTGGTTTATATTTTTGCCGAAATTGCAACAGGAAAATACGAATATTTTTTATATCAATGTAATTGATAACAGCGTTTTGGTTTAAACATGTAAAAGGTAAGTTTACAAGTCCTTTTTATTTAAACAATTGGAACCACATCAATGATGTTCATGTACTGTTGGTTCAACACACGTATGTACAATACGTGAGATTAGCCATGTAGCTAATCTCTTGTCCAACTGGCATTGCTCTAAAAATATATTATAGAATAACACAGAATGCAAAAAAGCGATATAATACAGTGGGATTGTAAAAAGGTGCAAAAATAGTTTTTCAGTAAAATGCTACATTTTACACATTTATAAATGCGCTTGTTTTTTGTAAAGAGTTACGTGAACCACAGTAACTGTCTTTTTCTCCTCTCCAACCAGACATTGATGAATGTCGCTACGGTTACTGCCAACAGCTGTGTGCCAACGTGCCTGGTTCTTACTCCTGCTCCTGTAACCCTGGCTTTGTCCTGAATCCAGACAGCAGAACCTGTCATGGTACACACACACACACACACACACACACACACACACACACACACAGACACACATGCAGATGTGTTCTGGTGTGTCGCTGTTATTAACGGTCCAGTGTGTGTCCCTCAGATGTGGATGAGTGTGAGGATGAGCCCTGTAGTCACGGCTGCTTCAACACTTACGGCTCCTTCATGTGCAACTGTGACGAAGGCTTTGAGTTGGCGGCTGATGGGACGTCCTGTATCGGTGAGAAGAAGCCGTGGTGTTTTTAATGGTTGATGAAGTGATGTCATTCTGCTAGAACCCAACGATAAAGTTAAATGAAACAGTCTGTTATCAACGGCTGTTATTTAATGTTATCTGTATGTTTATGTTTTTGGACATTACAGTATGTTGTGGTTTATTTGCCATTTTACTGCTGAGATATTCTGACTTCTTCTACATTGTCTTCTTCTTCTTTCTTCCTCCTCATCTTCTTTCCCTTCTTTTTCTCTGTGTTCTTTTTTCCTTCTTCTTCTTCTTCTTCTTCTTCCATCCGTGGTATACCATAGTCTCATGATTTATGATTGTATTTCTAATCCCTAATCCCACCTCTTCTGTGTGACAGCATACCCAGTGGTGAATTACTGAAACATGAAGACGGTGTTTGTTTAAAAGTTAGAAAATGAGACACACAGTTTCACAATTTTTTGTGAAAGGCAAAAAAGAAACTAAGTGAAATTTCTACTGACTTTCTGCTACTTTCTGAGACTTTTCTTCTCTCTGACGTCTGTCTCTGCTGTTTCAGATTTGGACGAGTGCAGCTTCTCAGAGTTTCTGTGTCAGCACAGATGTGTGAACGCTCCCGGCTCTTTCTCCTGCATCTGTCCGCCTGGATATTATGTCTTTGAGGACGGCAGGAGTTGTGAAGGTAAGGAGATGATGATCACATGACCATTAGGGGTCATCGGGTCAAGCTAATACAGTATTAACTTTACGGTCCGACTGGACAACTTTTATTAGTAAATTGCTTTCAGACACCTTACAACAAAAAAAAGAAAATAATTTTGTCTTTGTTGTTTATTAAATAAAAGCCATGATTTCTGTCAGGAGCCTCATACGTTTGTTATTTGGTTCAGTTGTCAGTACGTCAGGAAGCGACAGAGGAGCTTTGTTTGAACATCATGCTGGGGGTTAACACTGGTGATTTAGAAATGATGTTGGGCATTTCTCACTAAACTGTGATGATGATGATGGTGATGATGATGATGATGATGAATAACTGACTCTGGCTGTTGTTGTGTGTGTTTGATTTTCAAAGATATCAATGAATGTGACACTGGTAACAACACCTGTACAACAGCACAAGTATGTTTCAATTTCCAGGGAGGCTACACATGTTTGAACCCCTTACATTGTTCACCTCCTTACGTTGAGGTTACTGACAAGTGAGTGTTGTCCTGCCGTTCTCAGTCTTCTTCAATATTACTGAGAAGACAAAACCCTAACCTGTGTGTCTTTTCTGTGTCAGTCAGTGCATGTGCTCAGCTGAAAACCCTTCCTGCAGAGAGAAGCCCTTCACTATTTTGTACCGACACATGGACTTGTCGTCGGGTCGCAGTGTCCCTGCAGACATCTTCCAGATGCAGGCCACCACGCGTTACCCAGGAGCCTTTTACATCTTCCAGATAAAGTCTGGCAACGATGGGAGAGAGTTTTACATGAGGGTGAGTTTACGAAAGACAGTTAATACTAAATTTAATTACTAATTTAATTTGACTACTATATAGATTTTATTTATGTTTTTTTTTTTGTCAAACACTTACCTCACCTTTTATGGTATATGCAGTTTACTATTTAAACAAAATCATTGTAAATTATGCAAAAGACCTGTCTATATCAACATATATGACAGAATAAAACACATTGAAATAGTTGTAAGAAAGTATCCTTAGACTTAAAGTTGTTTTAAATTTTAAAAAATACACGTTAACATACTATTACCTACTTTAGTACCTGCTTTAAACTGCAGTAAATATACGTATACTTTATAAATGAAAAATGCCATTGAACCTCCGGCTTGTGTGTTAAAAATAAGGCGTTAGACTGCAGATACGTCAATGTCAGACTAAACAGCAGAGCAACAGTGCCATCTACAGGAATTCAAAAGTCAAATAATAAAAGGCGTTGCTTTGATATTCACTAAATGAATACCAACCGATGCAAACGCTATAGAATAGAATGGAATCAAATAGAATGAATGCTTAAAGCTTAAAAATCCTGCTTTTTTTAAATAAACATCACCACCTAGTGGTTTATTTAAGTACTGAATATAACATAGTTGTACATGCAAAATAAAACACAATTTGCTTCAGATATGAATTGTCAACTAATCACATTCAGGCTTTAGTATTGATGTTGCTTTCAGTTTGAAAACTTGACAATTTAACTATTTTTAGTTTGTTTAAAAAACAAATATAAGATCAACTTCACCCGTTGATTGCCTTAATTACACTTATAATATCTGCTGGCGTCATACAGTCTCAGGCGCAGTGTGTAAACAGAGGTCACATTCTACCATCAGTCTTAATTATTTCACTGCTGTCACTGTAGAGTCAACATTATTTCTAGTGTTGCTTTTAGTCTTACATTATGTAAAATCCTTACAAATCCAAACACAGGTTTATGTATTTATGTTGAAGAGTTGTGACATCACGACATGTCTGTTCCTCTACGTTCTACTATTGGCTAATAAAAATATGTCAGGGTTAATCTAATAGAGTTGACCTTGAGAATGAATGAGGGCAGTTACTTCATCCTAGGAGTAAATGATTCATGTCCTGTGTCATGACATGAATGTGTTTACCCACAAACCTCTTACACTGACTCTAGTTTGACAGTTTGGAAAAACACAGTGATGTAACGTTGTTTTGAGTTTTTATTCCATGATGAGTACTACCAAAAAGACTTCAAACCAAAAATTGTGAAAAAGCTCTAACATTTACCATCGGTTGTGTCACAGTGTCGCCAGCAGATGGAGCTACGTAGTTGTTTCAGGTCACCTTTAATTTCAATATTAAAAAAATCTTAAAAGGGGAAGTTATCTTAGTTGTTGTTTTTTTTTTTTTTGGACTATGGCTAAAAGTTAGTGTTGACTGCTTAGTTTTATCTTAGTTTTTTTTTTGTACTATGGCTAAAAGTTAGTGTTGACTGCTTAAATCTATGAATCCTCCCAAAAAAATATGAGCATTAAACACTTTCAAATAAAAATATTTGATATAGCTGATATGATATGACTGTCAGAACTTTATTTACAGGTTTAAATGACCAGATTAATGCGGTTAAATCACTTGTAGCAGACAAATAATTTCGTTGGAGTAGACTATCAAATTACACATTTTTAATGCCTTCTTAGTAAGTGAACCACATTTCTGGGAATGTGGTTTGTTCGATTTGACCACACGGTTCCTTACCTCACTCGTCTTTCTGTTTTCTTCTCTCCTCTGTAGCAAACTAGTAATGTGAGTGCCACCCTGGTCCTGTCACGGCCGATCAAAGGGCCGAAGAAGGTGGTGCTGGACCTGGAGATGGTCACTGTCAACCACGTCATCAACTTCAGAGGCAGCTCCATCATACGTCTGACGATATTTGTGTCAGAGCATCCGTTCTGAGAGTCTGACACATGGACTTCATCACCTGTAAAACAATCCGGCCTCAGCTCTCATCTGCAGCTGAAGTCATGTTTTGTTTTTTTTGCAGACAGCTCATCACCTATTTTCTCTTTAAACATTATGTCATCGTCCATACAGACACGTCCGATAAAGACTCAGCCGAGTTCTGCTGATGGGAAAATATCCCCACACTCCAAATCCCCCGCCCTGGTTTAATGGACACGGAGCTTTAATGGCTGCGATATGTACACCCCCCCACACATACACACACCCACTGACAAACACACACAGGGATATTTATGGTGTACAGTTTCTAACAACTGATGGAGACTCACTGAGTTTCGGGCATATTTTCAGTACAGTTTTTTTCAATGCTGTCTCCCCTCAGCTGTGAAGCTGTGAAGAGTGATGAGCGGTCGTTGAATCTGAAGTGACCTCTTCACGGGTCAGCTCTGAGCAGCTGTAACACAGCACATGTGTACTTGTGCATTTGGAGTGGCACTGTTTGAGATGATGTAACGAGCAGTCATAAACTGAATTATTGATCACTGTTTTCTTTTAGACCAATAAATGACTTCACCCACACCACCTGACCCACGTCTGACAAGGATCCTGGGCTTTGAGGCTGCAGATTATTTAGGGAACAATCTGGAAAAAAGGTGTTTTTATTCTATTTTTAACAACACGCACATTTTTCTTTTGGTTAAAGTTAGCCTAGAGATAGTTGGTTTAAAATTAAGATGATTTAACTCTGATGTTAGAAATAGAAGAAAATAGACACAATGTCATCAACTTTGTCATCAAAAATAGACAGCAAAAAGAGAGCTTAAAATAAAATGAATAAAAATAGCCCAAAAATAATAAAATTTTAAAATAAAATAATATAATAATAATAAAAATAGCCCAAAAATAATAAAATGCTTGAACATATCTAGATGTGAATCTGTGTAAATGTAGCCAAAAAGATAACAGTTGAAAAAGTTATATAAAGTTATCCATAATAAGGCTAAAATGTAGTCAACGACAACACACATTAGGCTAAGATAACTGAAGTTAAATTACAATAGCTTCAAGTTAAACAATTACATAAAGGATGTCACACACAAGTTAATTAGCGAATATTTACTTCTAATTAAGTTGAAACTTTGTCCAAAAAGTAGCATAGAGTTAGCTAAGTAGAATATTAAGGTCAGCTGAGAGTTAGAAAGTCAAAAATAGCGACAATAAATTAGTACAAAAAGTCACATATGATGTAGTAGGCTGCAGAGTGAGTTAGTTCACAATACAGGAGCTAAAAGCTTACAGGTCAGATAGCTTAGCAATAGCCCCAAATAATTTAGATCAACTGGAAATAACTGCATTTCCAAATATGAATAAATCAGACTAAACATATCTGAAAGTAAGTAAGTATCTAAGAAGTGTTTTGGGGGGGTTAAAGTTACACTAAAAAGCTAAACATTAGCAGAAAGTGGTCAGTTATATTTAGTTTTCCCGGTGATTGTAATGATGCTCCTGGGGTTGGGCTGGGCTGAATACGTTGATTATACCGTGGTCTAAGGAATATACTACAATATTATGGTTTACAAACTTAGCATAAAAAGCAAGTAAGGCCAAATCCCTGACAAAAAAGGGTTGACAGTTAACAAACGTTAGTTTAAAGGGTGACTTTACAAAGCGTTGAGACTGCGAGCAGGTGTGTAACGGTAGACACTTCGGTCTGCCTCGGGTTTCCTCGTGTTTCCCGCAATGTGACGTAGACACTGTTGGGATATTGATTAAAGTTGAAGAATAGAAAATAACTGTGAACAAACAGGCATGAGAGATAAAGGAAACTGAGAGGAGAAAGTGCTTCAGTCACGGCTGTTCGCGGAAGGAAACACAAACACAACGCGCCGTGTGAGTCCGGGAATAAGAGAGCGAGGGAGGAAGGAGGGAGGGGAAAAGGGGGAAAAGGAGGAAGGACGGTGAGGAGTACAGTAGAAGGAGGGAGAAGTGCGAGGCGGAACGAAGGAGGGACGGAGATTAAGCTGTGAGCGAGGAGCTCAGTCAACCTGAGCTCAGTGACGTTTCTCTCCTGCTCGTCTGTGAGAATGAGCTGCAGAACAGGATTTTCAGACTTTATCCTCTGTCAGTGAACACATCGCAGAGGTAAAAGCAAAACTTTAAATTTTTATTATTTCACTTGTTCTTATTGCTGAGTTTAAACCCACAGTTATTCCTCCACAGGTCTGTTTTCTCAAGTAAAGATACCGAATGTGTTTTGTTGACTTTTGAAGCCTAAGCTGCTTCACGGAGCATTATTTACCTATCTTTCCTTATCTTCTTTCCAGTCCTCAGGGTTTTTTTCTTGAATCCAACTACACTATTTCCCTTGTTGAATTTACCTAAAAAAAAAAAAAAAGTAAGCCTGCTTTTAGTGTTTTTCTGCAACTTCACAGGTTTGGACACTTCAACAAGTTCTTGTTTGAAAACTATGTAAACATTTTATATATTTTAAGTATACTGAGAGTCATGTTTGAAAGGTGAGTCATTAAATATGTACTTTTAGACAGCTAACAATATTGGTAGTACTTACAACACATCCTTATGTTAGAGCTCAGCATACATAGATTATTTCTACATACATAGATTTTTTCTTTTCTTTTTTTTTCCGAATGTTATCTGAAAACTAGCAAGTCCAGAATTGGGCAAATAACCTGGCATGGGTTTTTTTTTACCGTCAACATAACTCAATGGTGAATGACCCGTCCTACTTTAAACCAGTGGTTCCCAAAGTGAGGGGCAGGACCTCTAGAGAACATGGGGCTATTGTAGGTGTTGCAAGGAAAGACAAATTAATTTTGATTCTTCATTTGTCCTCTTATGGAGGAATTCCATTAATTTCTAATATAATATAATTTGTTAAATGACAACATTATGTATTTTATAAAAAAATTACAGTGATATAAATATAGTTCAGTGTATTTTTGAAGCAACTGGTATGAACTCGCTGCAGGAAAAGTTTAAGAACCACTGGATTTACCTTAAAATGATGTCATGTCAAATTATTAATTGATGTAAATATCCAGAATGTTTTATTCCAGACTTGTCCAATGTTTTTAACTGTATCAATGTTTTATCCACCATTTCAGTACTTGCAGCCATGGAGTGTCTGAAAAACTGTTGCAAGAATCTGATGAAGTACAAGGGCAGAGAGATTGAGACTCAGGGTGAGTGACGTTCAACTCAGCTGCACGTTTAAAACACGGAACAAAGTTCAAAAACGTATGGAATAACTTTACTGACTGTATGATTTCAGTGATTAAAATGAAGGTCCCTCCAACCAAGGCCTTGACTTCAGGCCTGGAATCAGATGAAATAAAAAGGGGCATTAGAGAAGATTACCTCCTGTCCAAGCTGCCCCCTAATGGCAGAGAGGTGCCGTTTGTTCTGCCGACATTCAAGGCCTCATACATACAGCCCAAAGGAGCCCGCTTCCCAAACTTACAGCCTGGGCTACAGAGTACGTACGAACTGTGATTATGATTATTATCATCATTATCATGATGATGATGATGATTATGATGATTATGATTATCATTATGATAATGTTGTTGATGATGATGTTGATGATGATGATGATTATGATTATGATAATGTTGTTGTTGTTGATGATAATGATCTTGATCAACATCATCAACATCATCATCATCATTCTAAGGCTACCCTTTAGTTGTACTTTATCTTTCTTTAATTATTTTGGCTAGCCCTGTGCTTAACATTATATACTTGTGACCTAACAGTGTATAACTTACTATAAGCTATCTTTTACCTGAACGTTTAGCTTCTATTTAACATAACTGACCTATCTGCAAGCACCTTTGGTTACTTTTTGGCTTGATAAAGGTTACTTCTTTAGCTAACTCTAAGCTATTTAGACTATCAATTACAGTTTTGAAATTGGGATTAAAAACCCAAACTAAGGCTGAAGCAGCACCTCAGAGACCTCCGTCCCTTCAACAATGTAGTTCCTCGTGTGTCATTAAAACCAGATTAACAGTTGCTGAGGAACCAGAGACCAGAACCAGGATGTCCTGGTCTGGGTCTGTCACACCAACCTTCAGCTCTGCTCTCTGTCTCCGTCTGCAGGTTCAGCTCGATGCACGTATGCAGAGAGAAAGGCAGAGATTCTGGGCTCCAGTCAGTTCACCTACAGCCCAGAGTCCACCTTCCATCAGGGTCAGATGTTTGAGTACGTTTCCCCTGGCTCTGCTCGACGAGACACGCTCAAGAAGAAAATACCCGCTCCAAAAAGCCCAGGTAGCAGAAACTGCAGTAGCGACACAGAAACTCAAATACCAAAAATAAAAAATAGTTAAAAAAGCACAAATTCACAAAACACAATTTTCTTAATGTACATATCCTTCTAAAACATAACTGAGGAAGGTGCAGTGTATACAGTCAATGAGTTTATATTAATATTACAAAGTAAAGCAGAAGTTTAACAAATATTTTTAAAAGCCAGATAAGGAAAGAAAGAGCGTTCAGGAGAAGACATACAACACTGTCACATAAAGCACAGTCACACAAGCTGTCACTGTGCAAACAGTACAGTCGTAGGAAGATCTTTATCTTTAGTGTTAGCTGTTCATCTAATGTAATGTACTGTTATGCTGAGTTATTATTGTTATTGTTACTATTAATCTCCAAAAATGTAACTTACATAGAAATCTAAGGTTGAATATGTTAACAAATTGTTTAGACTCATTATAACTAAATAGTCATTATGTTTAAGAACATTCTGGAAAACATAGATCAAAGTAGGAATCGGTCTTTATTTTTTTCTTTGTAAATATTTTTTGTTTGTTGAAGATGTTAAATATGAAATGTTGAAGATACATTTTTTAATCAACTCATAAAAGTTAAGTATATAAGGATAGTTTATGATCATATGTATTTTGACAATAATCATGATACGTACAAATCTACATTCAATACAGCCAACATAATCTACCACTCTATTAACTACAGTAAGATTTTGTGTCTGTCTGCATGTGTGTTTTAATTATGCCCAGTCTGGACCCTGAAGCCTGAGAGTCAGCAGGAGCGTCTGAGCAGCTCCATGTTGGACCTGTCCAGTCCTCAGAGTCACATACAGGTCAGTCTCTTCTCTTATCTAATCTGTTTTCAAATGTCCTTCTCACGCTGTGTCAGAAAGAGTCTAAATATAGTCTTTCCACCGTCAAGTGGAAAATTGCAAAGAGGTTCAACATGCAGGTATTTGGATTTTTGGGTAAAAGTAGGAGTGTGTTCATAAGAGGTGGCCGAAGTTTGTCATATTAGAGACATTAGGAGACAGGACAGCTGGAACATGTAATTACTAATAGCATTTAACTATATATATGGGGCGTGAAAACATTTCTGTCCCCTAGGGGGGGCATGACAGAAATTAATTGGGAAACACTGTGCTAGGCTAAAGTTACTAAACTTTACTAAAACCAAGGTGAAAAAGTTCCATAGCAAAATTATGTTTTATTTATGCATAGAAACCTTTGTTGACTGATGATCAAATGACAATAAATTGAAGTAAAACTTCAAAACATTCATTTTAAGACAACAGCAACAGCACAACAGGTGACATGTATACAGTTTATATAAACACAAAAAGACCAAATATAATATTATTAAAGTATAAGAATATACAAACTGATGACACATGATAAAAAAAGAACGGCTCATCAAGTCTTCATTTTTATTTATTTATTTATTACTTTGTATTTTAGACTTAAAAAAAGATTATATTTCATAATACTTTTCATTTTAATGATGACATCATGTAGAAAATGACATGTTACTATTTGTTAAATACTGTATTGTTAAATATTGTCCCTTAAGCATCATCAAGTATGCTCTGTCCTTCAGTACTGATGTCCTCCACTGAGCAGGCTGCTCTCTGGTGTCTCCACATCTACAGCTCACCCAGGTTTCTCACTCACTCTGATCCTGTTCTCACCTACTGGTTGTCTTGTGGCAGCGTTGTGTTTATTCAGTCCCACCCTAAACATAACAGCGCGACAAGTAGGGTGGATTGTCAAGTGAAGGATGTGGTGAAGTGTATCTGTCAGCAGCTTTACCCAGAACACTTCCACTCTACTTCTATGGTTCCATAGTGTAGTGGTCATCACATCTGCTTTACACGCAGAAGGTCATGCGTTCAATCCCCAGTGTAACCAATTCCACACTGTGTGAGATTCAAAGAATAGAGGCAGTGGAGGCTTAATGGTTAAGGAAGCAGACTTGGGTTTGGAAGGTTTCAGGTTCGAGTTCACCAGCTGTTACCATCTCCACAGACTGTGAATTAATAATAATTAATTCTGTCTCCCAGCTCTAGTTTATAAAGAAATTGACTATTGAAAATGTTGGGAAACATTGTGTTAAAGGATAAACTTTATAAAAATCAAATCTATCACTGTACAGTAACAGACATATTCAGCTAATACATAGACATGCACTGTTTCTCTTCACCTGCTCAGCCTCTTGGTAACAGGCACTTTGTTTACAGTTGTTCTTCATTTACACCAAGTGTTTAGTTTGGCAGCCGTCTGAGCAAACGCTTGTGTGATGTGATGAAAACATCAAACGTCCAGCCCCATGGTAACAGACAGTACAGTAAACACACTAACAAACAGGGGGTTCCCAGGGTGAAAATCTCCAACACACCCGTCCACCCAGAGACACGGTGGCCAAGTGGTACGGTGATGTTCTCGTAAACAGAATATCGTGGGTTGTTTTGTTTGTGCCTTAATTTCCTGAAGGATTAATAAAGTTCTGTCTGTCCATCTATTCACACTCAGCAGTCGTTCATCTCCAGCATCAACCTCTTAATAACAGCAGTTTGAAAGTTTGAAAGTAACTCTGCGGTTTCCATTGCAGCGCTTCGACTCCCTCTCCAGCGAACTCTGCGGTTTCCGTTGCAGCGCTTCGACTCCCTCTCCAGCGTCCTTAGTGGAACGTCCTCAGCTATCGGCTCGGTCGACAGCAGCCTGGGTGAGTTCACTACAGCTCCACCTTCACCAACCTTTCCTCTGCGATTCCTGTTTCTTTAATAAGAAAAATAAACCAGACAGGCCTGTTGCCTCCCTCTGGCCTGAGGTGACTGATTAACATTAGTCACCAATCTGCAAATATGCCAAGGCAGATCAATGTATGCCTTACAAATGACGTCACTAAAGTCAAATACTGACAACTGCACATGAGGTGTATTCCTCATGATAAGACAACAAGGAGAATTGTGTCTGATGATAAACACTGATTAAACTGCCTCAGTATTACTGGGTAAATACAGGCAGTGTAACCCCCCTAAAGAAGCCAAAAGGCTAAAAGTTAGCTAAAGTGATAGCTGTAAAAGGTTTAGAAATGTCTATGTAAAAGATAGCTGAAGGTCAGATGCATATATTCATCTTTTTTCAAACATCATTTTATTCAAACGTCACAGACTCTGTCACACTGTCCGGTGACGAACGAGACTTTGGGAAAGTATGCGTCCGGCTGAGCTACCAGGAGGATTTGGAGCAGGTGTGGATCACTCTAGTCCAGGTAAGGTTACACACCAAAACCAGAGGTAGAGGGGGCAACAAAACCCTGCTTTGTGCTTTTCTGCAGCCCTCCTCAATGGGCCTTGTGTCCAGAGACCAGGTCTCTGTTAGCTGCTCTCTGTGCTCCGTTCACTTTGACTCCAGCGGTCAGGACAAAAATGGCACGACTGTCCAAAGTGATACTCAAGTGGTACAAAGTTGACCTGACTGTGTGTTAGGGACACTTGAAGGTAACACATTTAGTGCAAATGCACTGTGACTTTTACAGCCGGGCTCACAGTCAGGGATTCAGTGGTAGGAAATAGGAAACCTCCTTTAACCAGTCAATTACAGTAGAACGTTAGTGAACACTTTGGTTGCACCTGAACTATGCATCAGAGTAGGTGGAATACTTTGTATTGTTGGACACCACGATGGGAACCACTGTTTTGATATCAGTATTACTTTTTGAGTACCCACCTGTTACGATGTAGATTTGAACAAAAAGTGTTGTTTGTTGTGTCTCTGCCCCGTCAGTGTTCAGACCTCAACCTCCCCGTGGACGGAGCAGAACATCAAAAGATCGGATTCAAAGGCATCATCACTTTGCCCAAACCCATAAACTTTAAAAGCACCGTCAAAGCGCACTGCCAGGTGGAGCTCACCGTTCATGATCATATACTAAAATTGACTGATTTTTTTATTTGTTGTTGTCACTCTGCATTTTTGACAACTCTTTTCCTAACGGTTTTCCAGGATGTGTCCTTCATGGAGACCTTCGTTTTTGCCCTTCGTCTCCAGTCTTTGCGTTGCAGTGCTTTAGTGCTGCGGCTGCAGATTCACACCCCCAAGAAACGTACGGTGGCTCAGTGTGTTCTGTCCCTGCGACAGCTCGGCCCTGAGGAGACGGAACACTGGTTGGACCTCAACACTCCATCTAAATCCTCAGTGAGTCGGAAGATATTTGTCCTGACAAAAAAAAGCAGTGTGAAAAATAACGAGTGTCATTCTATTTATTAATTGCTAGTAAATTCAAATGTGAGTAACTTCTGTTTCTTCTTAACAATAATTTTTCCAGACTCTTTTAGTTTTCTGGATAACACATTACCACAGTGGTGGCTATAGATGAAGATGAATTATTATTGACTGGCTTTTGCAAAGCAGTCTCATTTAACCATTCTACAGAATCAGCATTGAACTTAACGTCCAACGCTCATCATGCTCCTTATAGTTATAATAAATCCTGGTTTGTAGCAGCTGACGTCTCTTCTACTGTCCATCAGTCAGAGACCAAGAGGGGAACGCTCTGTGTGAGAGAACATTAACTTGTTAAACCTTGGCTGCTGTCTGATGACTTCTTTATGACTCTACTGTGTGTACATCTCATAAAACAGAGAGAGGGAATGTGTCTGGAAGTTAGATTGGAAAACAGGCTCTTTATGAAAAGCAGCTTCTGGAAATGTGAGGTTTGTAAAGTAGGTCAAACCTCCAACCAACCCCCCCGACAGGCAGAGAGCGGTACTGCTGATTAACGGATGTCGTGTTTCTGCACCTGAGCGATCAAGTGACAGGCAGAGAGCAGTACTGCTGATAATCGTGTTTCTGCACCTGAGCGATCAAGTGGTCGGTTGTGGATGGGGTTATTGGGAAGAGCTTTGAATCACTCAGTTATTTTACCCAGCTGCCCCACACAATTCACCAGGATTGTACAAATTACTGTCATTCAGTGAAGCCTCTTACAGCCCAGACAGATGCCCTCTCAGAGAGTCTGTTACTAGGAAAATATCAGACACAGTTTTGAAAGAAGGAACAGCTGTGTCTTCAGCAGCGGCTGTCATTTTTTTCCCCAAAACCAATTTCCTGTTTTTAAAGACTGACCATGCGTCTCATCTCTGACTGGTGTTCAAATGCTATTAAGTAAATACAATGGTATAACCTTGATGTCTAAATGAAATGTTATTAACAACAATCGACCACAGCTGTTCAACAGCCCAGTTCTGAACAGCTGCTCTCTCTGGCTTCACCTTTATATGGCAATGAGCAACTGGATGCTGTGCTCACCTCTTCTGCACAGGGGGGTTGGGAGGGGGGGAGGGGCAGAGGAGGGCTTCAAAATCACGTGGGGAGAGGGGCAGAGGAGGGCTTCAAAATCACTACTGTAACAGTTGGTAACAGGAATGGTAAACTGGGCAAACTGAGTCAGACCAAAAAGAAATCTGTCTGTCTTCTGGTTACTAGTTCAGTTTGTTATATTCATCTGCTTTTCCACGTCACAAATAGGGTCAAATTGGAACGGCACATTTTGTGACAGATTTCCAGATTTAGCAGATTTTTTAACAACAACGATTCATGTAAAGAAATTTAACTGTATGAATGAACTCTTCCAGGTTTGTCACTCTGAGCTCCACCTGGCCACATGCTTTCAGCCCGTCAACAGTCGCATCCAGCTTCAGGTCCTTGCTGCCCAAAATCTCCCAGCATCCTCTTCGCCACTAACCCAGGGTAAATGTTTTAGATTTTATATACATTTCCAGGTTGCCCTCATAGATCTCTAATCTTCCCCTTCTTCTCATCCAAAGCGTTTTTCGTAAAGGCCGAGCTGCACCAGTTGGGCCAGCTGGTGATGAAGAAGAAGACTCGGGTGATAAAGGCCACAGGAGGACAGTGTCAGTGGGCGGAGACTTTTCACTTCCATCTGGCATCTTTAGACGAGCCCTGCTCGCTGTCAGTCAGACTGTACAGTCGCAGCTCGGTCAGGAGGAAGCAGTGTCTGGGTCAGGTATGTTTGTCACGTGACTGTACGTGAACCAAACCTCTGATTGTGTTGTCCACTTTAGAAGATGTGATTTTAGTTGGAGAAGTACTGAAGTGCTGTATCCCTCAGGTTTACCTCGGGTTCGACAGCTCTGTGTCTGAGGCTGTGGAGCTGTGGAAGGACATGATGGCTCACCCAGAGAAAGTGGTGGCAGCCTGGCACAGCCTCAGCCCGGCCTGAACCTCTACTCCAGAAACCTTGGCTTTTGTACGCACACACAGTGTGATGCCCTCGTGCGCACACGTCTCGCTGGTCACAGTCCTGACTCTGATGGAGCAGACCATGAACTTTAAACGTCCTGGACCAGCAGCTGACCACAGAGGTGCTGCGGGGGGTCAGTGATGGTTTGTTATTATGGGTAGTTGAACAAAGTGTAGATACTGGAAACATTTATAAATAAGGGAAATAAAAATAACAGTGTAGCCGAGTGACTTAGCTGTTAGCTTGTTTATAAAACTGTATTTTTATGAAAGAGTCTTTTAATGAAGGCATTGTCACTTTGGCTAAATACATAGAAGGTTAACAAACAGATTAATGACAACGACATGTACTGGAATAAAAAAATCATAAATGAGTCTGTTTCTAAAAACCTTTCTTCTTAAGAATGCTGCCATTTGATGGTTTGTCAGATAAGAGAATCCATATTTATAAATCGTCAGAGTTTTTCTCTAAGTCCTTCTGTGATGCACCCAGTGATCCAGGTTTAAGACAGTCAGAGGACAGAGAACAACCCTGGGTACCTGGAACTTTCAGGTCTTTCTGTCTTACAGTTGTTCTGACAGATTCACGGCTCAATTCAGATTTAGAGTCAAGAAAATGCCTTTTACTGTCAGCGGACTCAGCTGAACCTGGTGATCAAGGTCCTATTAATGTCATGGAGATATCAGTTGGCCTGAAATTGACCTGTGTATTTTTAAAATGTAATAACAGAAGATGTTTGATGAACCAATTAAAGGAAAACACACGCAGCACAGGTTTGGTTTAGACCCTGCTCTCGTGTTTAGTGGCTCAGTGCCACATGGTTAGAAAGCATTTCACGGACAGATTCACCACACAGTCAACACTTGTAAAGTGGGTCAACACTCATAAACCACTGTGTCACTGTGTCACTCTTTACTGAAGACTTTTCTCCTCCTGATAATGGAACATTGAGTTTTTCCATTTCACTTTCCTTTTACTTTAACTGCTGAACACAACATGAGCCATTTTGGCCTCAACAAAAAAAAAAAACACAACTCAATAAATGTAAAGAAATCTTTCTTTTCAATTGCACCTCTGTTAGTCTAGTTCTGCCCCAGTTTGGAAAATTGTTCTAATGTAGCCTGGCCAGTTGTCCAGTCCTTCACATCCTTCACGCTCACACCTGCGGTCCTTTCAGAGTGAACAATAACCTACTGTAACTAACATTTTTGAACCTTGAAAGGAAACTGGAAAAAAACACACACTGATGATTTTCTGGATGTAAGGTTAAAGCAGTTAGTGATCTGTCTGTGGTCTGTAGTCGGTGCTCTCTGAACCCTAGAACACCATGAACCACCAACGACAACTTCATTATGTTTATTATTTAACTGTAGAAACGAAGCCAGAAATTACCAATGGGGATTCAACCTGTAACCTTCTCACTGTAAGGCAGAAGCGCAAACCAATCTACCATCACTTGCCCGTGCTTCAAGTTATTTAGAAATAAAATGAACAAGACTCATAAAAATTATGAATGAGCAACGGTCTGTTTGCTTTAACCATGGACAAAAACAGCAACACACCCAGAGTGAACAATGTGTGTGTGGACCAAGACAACACAGTCCAAGTCAGTGTTTGTCTATAAAGAGTGTGTGAGTGTGTTAGTGTGACAACTGGGCAGTTCATGTGATCTGATCTGCGTCAGAGCCCTTTATAACCTGCCCTGTCAAAAGGACATCGTCTTCCCTTTTACGTAATTATTGTTTGATTTATTGTTAATGTTACACAGACGACACACCTTGGAGCCCTGCATCTCAGAAAGGTTTGTTTGGCTTCAACTCCGGGGAAAGGTCCTGGAATCTCAGGAACAGGATTTGGGGTCATTGCTTCTTTTGTGTTCTTGCAGATTCTTTTCCTGCTGCTTAGAAACACGGGATGTTTTACTCACTGCACATGCCTCGTAACCACAGCTGGTTCCTTCACTGACTGTACAGTCTGAGAGCAGCCCAGAAATACAATGTGAAAGACAATGTGAACTTAAGCCCAATTGACCCAGAGCAGCTAATTAGCTTCTGTTGTCTCGATTAAAACAACTTTAACAATAACTTGTACCAGCCTCAGCCCTGGGCAAAATATTAGCACAACGACGTCTTTATGGTTTACTTTAGATGTGAGTTCTGTTTGGGCTAGCATTAAGCTATTTTTGGTTGAAGGTTTGTGAAGTTTTTTGTGAACCTTTTTGGATATATACTGTATATACTGTATACGTATACTGAATGTATTTGCTTTTTTTGGCCAACATTTTTTTTTCTAGAACTGTATTGGTTTTTATAACATTTTGAGATAACTTTATGTTTTGTTTTTTCTGTTTTCCTTTTGTGCTAGCTTTGTGCTATCATGTAGCCTTTTAAATTTATCCTAGAAAATTACATTTTTGGCAAAATTATATCATATATTAAATATAACTGTTTGCACTAAGCTTTTGCTATTTCATGTCATACCATATTGATATTTCTGCTCATTTCCAACAAAATATTTTATGTAAGTCAATTTCTATGCTAGCTTTACACCGTTGTGCCATGTTTGTTAGATTACTTGTTTAGATTGTTGTGTTTTTGTTTTGTGTATATGCCTCAACCAATTTCTGATGTTTAGCTCTGGTGTTTGCTTTTTGAGAATTTAAATTTAACCTGATAATAAGGCATCACATACTCCCTCACAACACTAAACAAATATTTCCATAGCTAACCCTAAAACCTACCGACTGTATCCTTATTTAGCAACATATACTTAAGCATTGTCTTTTAATTGCAGCCAATTAAGCAATTATCATATTGACAGAGCAGCAGTGGGGCCTGTTTATCACTTAACCTCTGCTGAGGACAGTGTTTCATCAGTGGTTTCACATGGATTAATCCATGTGGGTGGAGCGTGTCCGCTAACCAGCTGGTGTCCAGAGCCTGTCCAATTTGTACCAAACTGAGAATGATTGATTAAAGTCTCAGTCTGAAACATAACATACTTCCCCAGTGTCTTAGTTTTGGTTTTTATTTAAGGTAATGTGAACTAAAGTTCCCCTCCACCCCCGTGAATTGAAATACTATTGAGAACCTGATAACATTTATATTTTTTATCTGTACAAACCACTGTATGAGTTGCTGCCACCTAGTGACTGGAGGTTGTTATCATTCAAGCATTACAGCAGTGGTACACTGATGTCCAGTGTGCCATACTCCATTAGAAGCCCCTCATGCCCCCCCGGCACCTCACCGCGCCCCTCCTACCTTTCTACTCGATGTGGGCCTGTGTCCAGGGTGTAACCCGGTCCTCACCTGTTGACTGCTGGGTCCTACAGGTCCAACTCCAGGTCACTTCTGTGGAGACCACACACATTCTCAGGCCACTGTGCACAAATACATTTTTAACTCGACCATTTGTCTTTGACTTCTTCCCTTCTAATATGCAAAAGAGTCAGTGCGCCCTCTTGTGGCAGTAAACTGGAATTGCAGGACCGTGTTGAACACCCACTCGTTGTTGAGTAAAGTGTGAGTGCGTGTGGACGTGGGTGTGATCAGGGTGTGAACGCAGGTGACACATTAATGAGGGGCTAAAGCTCTTGCAGGATAGAAAAGCAGAGCAGGCAGGAACAGGCAAAGATCAGACACTGAGATTCAACTGGAACAGGATGACTGCTGAGAAGACGAGTCTGAGAGAGGGATTCCTGGTGAAGAGGGTAAGAAAACGTTAAACATGAGAGTGAAAATGTTTTGTTTTTAAAAAAATGAAAGGTGTTTTTAAATATTTACATTTGTTCCAAGGGTCATTTTGTTCACAACTGGAAGGCACGTTGGTTTGTCCTGCTGCCAGAAAAACTGCTCTATTATAAATATGAAGGAAGTAAAAGAGACTCGTGTCAGAGAGGGAAGNNNCTGCTGAAGGACTGTGTTCTGACTTGTCCTTTTCTGGAGTATGAAAATCGACCGGTGAGTTGTTTTTTTTTTTTCATTTCTCTTTTGACAATACACAGGTACTTAGGGGTGAGATCATTCTTGTCATGTTTTACACTGTAGATGTATTTGTAGTTATGCTGTATGTGTATGTGGTGTATGTATATACTGTATTTTTATGGAGAAAAAAATACATTAATAATAATAATAATAATAATAATTTTCATTACACCTTGCTCGGTTCAACCTCATCCCATCCCTTAAAGTCTCTTCTTAATACTTGATTACATCTTTTATTGTGTAGAGGTTAGCAGGCCTGCCTAGGAAGCATAGTCTTGGGTTCGATTCCCAGAGAAATCACATGCTTGGCGCTTGCCAGGGGCATCTTGTTAACACAGGAATTTCCCAAATATGGGTTCAATAAAGTTCAGATTTTTATTATTATTATTATCTCATCTGTTGGTTTTTTTCATTCAAATTTCAAATATTTGCTGTTGTTTTTTTTTCATTCAAATTTCAAATATTTGTATCTCATTCCACGTTGCTTTTGAGATTGGTCTAATCTCACTAAATATCTGCTTCTTTAAATATGACATTGTATGAATTTGATAAAGTAAGTGAATGAAGCAGTGATCTGTGGATGCAGATCACGTTCTCCTCAGTGTTTACCTGTGTTTAGATTTTAATTGTTGGAAACCAGAGTGAAGGCCAAGCCTTGTTTTTTTATTAGACTATAAATACATGGCCTCAGGCTGATGTTTTGTCAGGACGTGATTTCTGTTATCGACCAAGCAAAGGGAAACAAGATCTTTTTGTGTCTCTGTGTCTCTGTGTCTCTGTGTCCCCCACGTCCTGAAAAATACCCACACCCTGGTTTGTACTGTGTTTTTAACAGTTGGTATTGAAGCTGAGGACGGCCAATGGAGTTGATCATTTCCTGGAAGCTTGTTCTAGAGAGGAGAGAGACGAATGGGCCGCTGACATCACAGCTGCCGCAGACGAGCTGAAGACACATGCTGGAGCAAAGACTGAGATCCAGCAGCAGGAAGCTGTAGTTTCACAGTTGAACAACATAAACCTCAGGTAAACTCTCACCTCAGCCACAGGATTTACAGGACTAGCCCATGAATCCCACAGTGGCTTCATGAGTCTTTATGTTTATGGCAGTCTAATCTAATCTTCCTCACCACCTGATTTCCTCCCTCTTTGTTGAAGCAAAGTGTTGGACTCCATGTATGACGTTCACAAAGGAATAAAGATGGGCAGCCATATGGAGCAGGGCAGCACCTACAGCAACTGCTTCTCAGGTCAGTCTATGAAACAACAGCCTCTTCCACAAGGTCCAGTGTTGGTTAGATGTAGAATGCTGGATATAAATAAATTCTAAAAGGATAAAACTAAACTTTCAGTCTTTACCATACCTTTCATCTGTGTTTTGTGGGCCAGATTAGAAAGTCCAGTGGGCCATATCTGGCCCATGGGCCATAGTTTACACAAGTCTGATTTTTCAGGAAACGTTTGGCTAATTGTTGTTATTATTACACTTATAACATGGCTTGGTGATTAATGCATGTGTTCTGTTAACTGTGTGCTGTGTCCCGCTCAGGTTCAGCGGTGGTGGACTGGCTGGTCTTCATGCAGCTGGCTCTGAACCGTGCCGAGGCTGTGACTCTGGCCACTGCTCTGCTGGAGGAGGGTCTGCTACGGACTGTTGGTCAGAGGAGCCACGAGGCTCTGAGAACGGCAGGACTCACCGATCAGTTCATGGACGACTCCACGGCACTGTACGCCTTTGTAAGTACCTTCACCTCTAATATCACAGATCTTCATAATCACTTTACATTACATTACCCTCACAATCATCTTATGATCCAATTACAACCTTTGCTATGAATGACATAATTAAAGACTGATTTTAATGGGCAGGTGTGAATAGATGGGTGTTTAATCCAAAATCATTTTGCCCCAGTCTGACAGCATGAAGAAAAGAGGCAGTGTGAAGGCAGAAACCTCACTGTCGGCAGTGGAGCTGAGTGGACAAGTGATAAAGACAGGATATCTACTCAAACAGGTGAACACACTGCTTTATTTTCTCTTTTAAAAAAATGCTGAGTTTTATATGTGCCCTATATAAACTGCCATGCACCAAAACGTAGTTCTAAATTAGGTCATTCTCGGAATAACCTCCAGAGCAGCTTTCTAAAAAGGTGTGTGTCATCAGCATAGATGTGATTGGAGCAGCTTTCTAAAAAAGTGTGTGTCATCAGCATAGATGTGATTGTTGACATTTTTTTTCTGTTTGTTGTTGTTTTGTTTTACCTTGATCTGTATTCGGGGATCAAGTAAATATTGAACAGAAAGTCATGGCTCTAGAATGGGTCCCTGAGGAACTCCACAGGTGATCATTTACTTAGGTTCTTAAATACAAAACAAAACCTTTGTTAGATGTTAGATGAGAAAATTAATTAAAATTCAAAAGAAATCAAAGCCTCAAAGTGTTTTTCTTCTTCCTCTCATCCTCGTGGTTTTGGTTTTTTTTTTTGTTATTACTTTGTCAATATTATATCTGTTTGTTGGTCAGTTGGATTTGTTGGACGAGGTGAAATCTGAGTTTCAAATGTCAAACCTGAGTGTTCTAACATACAGGGACACAGACGGAAGAACTGGAAGGTGCGGCTGTTTGTTCTGCGTTCAGAGCCTGATTTCCTTCACTATTACGATCCCACGCGGGTGAGTGTTCAGATTGGGCAGTTTTAATTATGACTGTTTGTTTGTGTTGTGTTTATGCCTTTCTCGTGGTAGCCATAATTGTCAGTTATCCCAGCCCCACTGAGTCATTCTGACCCACTTCCTGTCTTGTCCTCTGTCACAGGATGACATCAACCCAGTTGGTGGTTTCTCACTTCGAGGTTGTCTGGTGTCGTCTCTGAATGATAACGGAGTTCCTTCAGGTGAGTCACCGTCTCTGACCTCAGACAATCCCACCTTCATAAACACACATCACTAACAATCAGTCTGCTCCCTTCAGGCATGGCTTAGGAAAAACTCAAGTTGTTATTATTGTTATTATGAGGTAAAGGAAGTCAAGATAGATAGATAGATACCAGTAGCCCATTATTAGTTTATCATCACAGAAGCTGTTTTTAAAAACAATCTTCTTATTTTTGTCATTTCTTTAAACTGATTTTCCTCTCAGGAGTGTTTCTGTGTTTGTGATTTTTTACATTTAAACCCAAACTTTAATATTCTGTGCTCAGGTGTGAAAGGAAACATCCAAGGAAACCTGTTTAAGATCATCACTCAGTCCAACACACACTACTTCATTCAGGCTCCCAGTCTCCAGGAGAAGATGGACTGGATCGAAGCGATCAGACAACAGACGTAACGGACATTTAACTTATTTTTTATTTTTTAATTTATGATGCGGAAAAAACAGCTAAATTTACACATTCTGTGAATGGACTGTTTCAAGAAACATTTGCAGCATCAGTTTTGTCTTTTGTATGAACAAAGACATATTTAGATATGTCTAAATACTGTGCACATAAATATATGTGCATATGTATACATATACTATATATACATACACACATATATATTATAAATAGAGGGTACTTTTATAGTATGAGGTAGAATTATGTATGGGATAATTGCTGCTAGAAATTATGCCTATAGTATTTCAGAAATACTTTTTTTTTTTATATTTTCAATATCACCTTTCTTATATATATATATATATATATATTCCTCTCTAATTTAGTAACATAGTAACAGTACTTATTTCATATGTTTAAATACAATACTTTCTATAATATATATATTTTAAACCAGGGGTGTCAAACTCAACTTCACTGTGGGCCAAACTTAATATTTGTTGAAAAATGTACTGCAATTGTTCCATTTTCCTTTTCTCCAGATATGGAATGTTGATTTTTTTTTTTCATATGGAAACAAACTTTAGTTTTGCATAAACATTAAATCTGTAACAAACCAAAGAAATTAAATTTGAAATAAGACACAGATCAGTAGTGATTGTTTCTTATTATGCCTCTCTCTATCTGTAGCCTATGTATGTGCTATAACATAACACATAACTGCCAGTATACAGTGGCTATATAATGGTGGGCCAACTCTAGTACACATTTGATATGATCTCGTGGGACTAATATAATTACAATGCGGGCCAAGTGTGGCCCCCAGGCCTGAGTTTGCCACGTGTGCATGTCTTATGTTGCCTTTGTACAGAGATCCTGGCTGTAGTATTACTGTGTGGTTTTGATACCTCTGTCTTGGAAACATACAGTCTGATCACAGGCTGAAGTACAGGTATGAACAAGTATTTGCTGCGGTGGTATTTTTGTTCACCGTCATCCTCTGTGTAGGCTGCTGACGCCCAGTGCTGCCGTCACACACCAGCACTTCACCTTCATGAGACGGTTAAAGACTGTAACAACGTACACTGTGACAAATAACAACCACAATGTATTTATTGCAATGATGCAAAGTCAAGTTATTTTTGTTATTTGCCGCCAGCCTGTGATAGGAGGATCAAAAGTGGCTCTAAAACGGAGCCTTGAGGAACATCACAGGTGATTATAACAAAAAACAAACCTGAATATCAAAGTGTAAAGAATTTTAGAACTTTTCATAATACAGCCTTCTTCCAAAATAATTGTCAAAAACATCTGCACCAAAGGTATGAGGCCCACTTTGATTCTGCATCCAGCAGCTAGAACCTGGATGTTATTGTTTTTCTCAGAACTGATCCCTAAGCTTTAGCTTTGATAGAAGCTTGGTTTCAGCTTGGTTTGATTTGAACAGACATTCATTCATATTTTAAAAAAAATATCCATTGCATCTTTAGAACAAATAAGTTTATTAACAAAAAGCGAGACAAATCTTGTTATGTCTTTACCTTTTGTGAAATTGAAGGTAAAATTAAGAATTAAGAGTTAAAAACACTGTGTCACAAACATGCTATAATGTCGTCTACATGAACACAAGTTAACACCATCATGTTCTTGTTCAATAGTCGGTCACAGAATCACAGGTGAGCTGAAACATTAGTCTTCATGCAGGCTCTCGTAAACAGAAGTGCTTCCAGACAAATTCAGAGCACAGCCGCCGCTGCAGCGCCGCAATTCCTGCAGGGATGCAGCACTTTTGTGCAAAAACTTGTCAAGGTTAGTTTGTGTAGCTTAATTCACATTGGTTAACGGTGATTAAATCACATTCATCAGTTAAATTTAGGATTTTAACTTTGAGTCAGTTACCCTCTCGAAGTCCTCAGACAGATAATATAGTGAAGACTGTTTGAGTCAGTTACCCTCTTGAAGTCCTCAGACAGATAATATAGTGAAGGCACTTTGTCTTAACACGTGATTACGAGGCAGGTTTGAACTTGGAAATTGAAACACAACATCCATCCATCCATCCATCATGAGGCTAAATCTATCAGTCAAGAAGCAGGCCTTTACTCCTGCCATGGTCGATGTAAACTCTCTCAGGATGTTCTCTCGTTCCTCCTCTGTGGCTATGCCACCTTGGTGAGCTGTAGATCTCCAATGACTCTTAAGGCTGTGAGGGAGGCGAGAGGAAGGAGGCGGTGGGTGAAGCCACACAGCGGCTGGCCGTCCACCAGGATACGAAACTGCTGGTGCTCACAGACAATCTCCATCTGACAGTCACAGGAAAACAGAGACAGTGAACAGAAATACTTCATTTTAAGGAAATGGCATCGGCGTAACTCTTTCAAGCTGTGTTTATCAAACTTTTCATACAAGATCCACTTCTGCAACATGACGGACCATCATGACCAGCACACAGTTTAGTTCATATTATCTGTACAAACCACTGTATAAGCCTGAGATTAATTAAATTAGCTGCAATGCTGCCATCTAGTGACTTTCAGTTTAATATACAGCCGTTTATCCCCAAAACTATTTTTAGGGCACACATCATTTGGCAAAACCCAGGTATTGCGTTATCGGGTTTTCATTATCTGAGGAAAAACAGATAACGATTCTTACAGATATTACATAATATGCTAATATAATATAATATGCGATAATATTGGTCGCCGGATATTATCGGACATCCCTAAAAATAACCCATTTACACAGAGCATAAGAGATGTAAATACTATCTACGTGATTTTGACAGGTGAAAAAAACATTGGATAACGCTGTATTATATAGCAATCTTTTATTTAAATATCATCAGAAAGGCCTTTGTTGGTCATGACCCAACTTTGCGACGTCACCTACAATCAGGAGATCAAGGCTGTATTCAGAATCACATTCTTCTGAGATTTACTGAGGTCCTTGATGTACCTTGAAAGGTTCTCCAGCTGTGAATGGAAAAAACGAGAGGGTGTTTTCACCCTGACCCCACTTTCCATCCAGACGGGCATTTCTTTGGATGGCTTTGTCCGTGAAGGTGACCTTCAGGTGGAGACCAACATCTGCCTCAGTTTCCTCCTCCTGAGGTTTACGGGACACAGTCACCTCAATGCTGAAAGAAAACACAGAGACAGAAATTAAATATTGTTTTGTTCTTGATTTTCTGGACAATAAAAATTGTATAGGTTCTCATCATGTCTCTACCGTTCTAAATAGTACATTTTTTATTTAAAAAATAAAAATAATTACACTTCATGTTTGTTAATTATGCTCTTGTGTAACCACTTTATGTTTGTTAATTATGCTCTTGTGTAACTTTAATACATATAATTGCCAACTAAAAATAACCTAATGATGTCATCAGCTCAAGAATTTTCAGATTTCATTTGATTTACATTTTTCCCACGACCCTCTTGAGAATAACCTAGTTTTAGTTAAACCTTGAGCGACATGTTTCCTCACAGCACTGACTCACTGACTGACTGGTATTTGATAACAAACACAGGCTCAAAGTTCAGCTGTGTTTTTCTGTGTTTTTTTTCTTTTTTTACTGTTAGTGTCAAAATGTCAGAATAGACCCAAGAATAAATTAACAGACAAAAGCTTCAGAAATAAAAATAGCAAAAATTCAGCAAATGGATGTTAAAGGTAACATAGAAAAAACAATGACATACTTATAACAGTTGAACAAAATATTCAAATATGAGTAAAATCACAAATCATGTTGTACATAATATGTTAAAGTTAGCTGGAAACATAAAATGCAGCACTTGTTTAAAGAAAATTAAAAGCCAGCCCAACATATGTATAGAAAATAGAATTTGCAAACATATCTTGTTATATTAAAAAGAATAACATTTAGAAAATGTTATAATCATCCTGAGGTTTTCCAAAAGATATTTTGATGTTCACTTTTTAAAATAGCTACGTAGCGATGACTAAAACTTTCCAAAACATTGGATCAAATTCTGAAGTGTTGATAATCCCAAATGACCTTGAGATGTTTTTCAAAATCAAAAAATCAAAATGTGTTTAGAAACATATGCAAAAAACAAACGAAAAAAAACTCTCCAGGTCCAATAATATAATAATATAACCAACCACTGGTACCAGGGCTGGACTTTGGACCTGTCTGCTGCAAATTAATGTGTGGGATTAGCATTTGGCAAGAGAAAAAACCATTTGTTAGTGTGTTTGTCTGACTAACCTCTTGGGTTTTTGGTTAATAATTCCCATCACCACTAGTTTCATTGAAGGCCTGAGTCCACCTTTTATCTCTCCGGTGTACTCGCCCTGTGAAACAATAAAGACGTAAGGTGATCAGTGATGATCCAGGCTCCGGGCCTGCAGACCTGCAGACCTGCAGTCTGGTTTCTGACCAGGACCAGACTGTTTAAACCCTGTCCCTCCTCATCATTACTCAGTCTGAGCTGCAGCTTAAACACCGCTGTGAACAATAGCTTTATTCACTCAGTGACTCAGCTGCACTCACTGAAGCTTTTGGGGCTGATTACCCACCGTGCTGGAGAAACGAAATCACAAAGAGCTCAGACTCTTTGACAGAAACATTCAGCGCATGCAGAGTTGACAAATCACATTAAAATCATCTACATACATCCTTCTCTTTGTGGTCCTTTTCCTCCATCCCACTCAGGGCGTGATGCAGCGAGCACATTCTGAGCTGTGATGCTGCCAGCTGAGCACCGATGCTTCACTGTGCCTACAGTCGGAAACCCCGCCTATTCCACGTTACCAGGGAAACAGTCAGGCTCACAATGTGGCTGTGGTGAAGGTGAGAGACGAGGGAGAATAAATAGGTGAAGGGTGATGCTGATGGTGCTGCTGGGGATGGTGGGGGGTCCAGAACAGCCTGAATAGACTGCTCTGGCTCATTGTTATTCAGAAATGGAAATGGAAAATATAAACAAAATGTATTATTATTATTATTGTTGTTGTTGTTGTTATTATTATTATTATTATTATTATTATTATTATTATTATTATTATTATTATTATTATTATTACTGTTCTTGTCTTTATTGTTAAAATTTCTTCTAATGTAAGATTAATGTTTTAATAAGAACTAATTTGGAATTTGGCCAAACCTAAATGTAAAGGTGTTTCTAGAGACCCTGAGGGTCCCAGGCAAGAGGGACCATGGAGCCTTCCCACCGGCTGACCTTGGGCCATCTCTCGGGGCCCCTCGTTGGCCCTCCTACATGCCATTATCATTGTACTATTTCTTTTTTGAGGTTTTCTTGAGGGGTGGTGGTGGAAGGGGGTTTCCTCATTAAAATGTGTTTTTAACTTATTTCTATATTTTTAAAGGCAATGCTATGCATACCTTCAGAGAAAAAAAGAGAAACAATATATAATTGCAATTATTTTTTGTATTCTATTTTGTTTAAATTTAGTTGAGTTTGGTTAATTTAGTTCAATTTTGTCTTACAACATTACTGTAACTTTAATTTAAATACACTCTAATCAATGTATTTGACATTAGATTTTCCGACTGCACCTAAAGGCGTCATTGTTAAAAACGCCCCCTCTTGAAAGCTTTTAACCAATCATCTTTGGAGAAGCAGCTGATATTGTCACATGATCACGGTAAACTTCATGCAGTTAGCCGCTTAGCATAACAACTACCAGCCTACAACAGAGCGCGAATGGCTGATAGAGATGTAAAATGAAACACCTCCAATGGCAAATGATTTTGCGGAATGAGTAAGCGTTTCTTTTTATCTTCTGAAGTCTTTAAGTTTATTTATTGTTTAAACATTATGGAAAGTCGCTTGTTACGTAAATGTTTCGCCTCCAAACAGTCAGCACTATTCAGGCTAATGCTAACTTGGCTGTCAAATCATAGACAAACAGCGAAGAAGTAAACATTACAGGTTTAAATGGCTGTTAACAAAGCTCCGGTGTCCTGGGAATTTAATGTCACGTATTCTTTAACATGTGCTCTTTTTCGTCTTTAAACTTAGACAAAAACTCATTATGCTGTGATTATATCGATGTATTAAATGTAGTACATGTGCCTTATAAAACACATTTAATAGAAATGCATTTTTTTAAACAGTGCCACCAGAGTGACTTTATAACATTATAAAAATGACAACGTTGAATTACCAGAGGGACTTTAGTGCATTATGTAGGTGGGTGGTGGCGACAAGTTGAGGTTAAAGGTAATATAACATCAGACTTTTGAAGGTTTGATTCTCTTCTCGACTGCTTTCAACAATGTTGACAGATTATGTCATGTTTTATGGTTTGTATAACTCTATAAATAAATAAAATATGCTGGTAGTTTAAAGTTGGTTTGCCTTTTTTTTTTTTTTTAATCTTTTTGTTGCAGGTGTTTTGGTCAGTTAGCGTTGCTCAGCAGTTGGGACCGCTAAGCAGTGAAGTGTCACAGTGAGAGTCGTTATGTTTCCCTTCGGCTGTGAAGCTGAGACCTCACTCCAGGACCTGTTTGAGTATTTCAAGAGGTGCCTTCAGCACGGAGAGTGGGAGCTGGCCAATGCCTGTGTGTGTCAGCTGGTCAACTCCAGCCTCTCTGCAAACCTCAGAGACATTATCAAAGCTATCATCTGCCATCCGTACAAGTTAAAGTGAGTCACGAGACAGCTGGTTGTTCATGTTGATCAAATAATAAATGAACAAATGTATTTATTTGTGTTTCATTTCCTATGGATTTAAAGAGTGTTTTTATCATAGATGGGAGTCTGTGGGCAGCCCTCACAAACTGGCCTGGTTTTGGCTTCAGACTTTGGAAAAATGGACAGAAGAGAGGGTAAAAACACAGACTAAATTATAAGTGTCTCCTGTTGGGGGTGGGGGGGGGGTCTTTTTCTGTGTGATTTTCTTATCTTTTTTAACAATTTCAATGTTTGCTCAGATATAAAAAGTGTAGGAAAGCGTATGGCATGAAACAGCAGTTGATAAAAGTGTTACAGTATCCAAATAATTAACATTTATACATTTTGTTTCTTCTTTTCTTACCTAGATTATTTAAAAGTAAAATTACATGGACAAACAATCAGTAATTCAGATAGTCTTTTTAGGTTAATAATTAATAATGTATGATGGATTTATTTATTTTATATTGTTTTAATTCAAACACTATACACTTCTTCCAGTGTGCTGTGCTGTGATAAGTCTTTTTGCTCCTCAGATTTCACCCAACATCAAGAAAGAACTGGAATTCCTGATGCTCCTGGAAGAACTGGCGTCAGAGAGCATCACAGAGAAAGTTCTAAAGGTTTTTCTTAATGATTCTTTTACCATCCTGATAACGTGATAATTATAAAAATGACCAGCTGATCATTTAATATTTTTAATGTTTTATTGACTGGTTCATTAGATTACAAAACTGAAAACGGTATATTTTTGAGCAGGAGTTACACCTGGCCTTCCTCAACTGCCATTCCGACAAAACAGCTGCAGGAGGTCCAAGGTCAACAGATGCTGCTGTCGAGTCCTGCCTCCAGACCTTGCTGGAGAAGAAGAAGCCCAGACTAGCTCAGTCTTTAGCGCATTTCTTACAGGTAGACTTAAAGGCCACGTCGATTCAAAGTTAAATATTTAAAATGAGTTGATTAGCTATTGTTCTTTTTTTTTCTCTAACATCTTATTGTTTCTATTTACAACAGGAACAGTTTTCCACAGAGGACCATATTCTACAGCAGGCATTTATCCAACACCTGCTGAAGAAGCTGAGGAGGCCAGAGAAGAAACCAGAGAAGATGGAAGAATGGGTAGAGGAAATATATGCAGTGTTGTCAGTTATGCCATGGAGCTCTAGTGAAATCCGTGGACAGTTTGAGGCCCTGTGTGAAGCTCTGTGGGCAGCCAGAGACGGTCCACTGAAAGAGGAGAGAGTTCTAAGCTCTCTGCTCCGGCCTCAGTGTGACACTCTGGTCTCCATGTACTGCTCCACTGCTGTGAGGCTGCAGCGGGATCATCTGCTCAGGAACACACCCGACACACAAGGTAATCTAACAACTTACTTACCAGATCACCTGCTCAAAACAACAGTACTAATGCAATGAAATACATTCAGACACCAAAGCCATGTTATTTGTTTTCACTGTGACATGACTTGGAGGTTCAAATGTTGGAACCACAGTCACAATTACAAAGTTGACCAAGTAAGACGTGCAATATGCACAAAGTTGACCAAGTAAGACGTGCAATTAAACGGCTGCCTTTACATCCTGCCTTACACCGGAGGAGATGGGGAGTGATTTGTTGCACACACTAAGGCACTGGCTAATTTTCCAGTCACAATCATGGTCCTTTGACCTCCAGGCGATAAACTGCCCAAAGGGACATAGGGCAAAGGTCATCCAGCCTAAAAGTTCTGCCGAATCTTTATAGAGCGGCAAAACGCTGGGATAAATAAAGTTCTATTCCACTGTAGTTTATTCTACCGGTTTGTGTTGTTGTACTGGTATTTGTCATGTGACCAACACATGACAAATATTTTTGTGCCTTTTTTGGCCTATGAAACAGTTCCTCCTCTGACCTGTTTTCCTGGTTATTGTGACCTTTGATTGTTTTTATTCTTAGTCTTTTACATCATCTGTACTTCATCTGTATACTTCCACCTGAACGAATATTTAATCTTTACATAAAACTTTATTTGTACATACCAAGTCATCCTTATTGGACTACTTGTTTAATTATTTAACTCTATATTACGCACTGCACCGAATATAAAAAGAAATTCCTCCTGGGTGAAAACATACCTGGCATTACTGACATATTTATAGTCTTTGTTGAGATTTCTTTTTACTCACAAATCACTTGTCACCACTTTCCTTTCCTCTCTCACTTCTGCTTCTTTGTCTGCCATTTGTTTTTTTGTGCTTAAAATACTCAGAATTAGCATGTGATGTTTTGAGTTATGTCTACACGAAATACAACTTTCATGACACCACATATTCATGGATGGTAAACACGTCTGTTTGATGTCCCTTATAACATTATAAAGATTACAACACTAAATTCCCTACATGAGTCAAAGATTTTTAACTGTGCTAGTCCTTTAACCAATAAAAACCAGCAGTCCCCACCAGTCTACCTTCACATGACAAACAAAATGAGTTTTTTCTTCCCTCAGCTAAAATGAAGTCAACAGTCAGCAGTCAGAGCTGCCTTAATGACTGCAGTGTGGCAGGCACGTGCACCAATGTTCCGGTGGTGGTCTTTCTACACATAAGTCTCTGCTGTAACTACACAGCACGTGAGACCATTTCTATACTGGGTTAAATGACGTTACACAATCTGGTGACCTGTATTCTTATGTTGTCATCTGTTGTTAAATTTCTTTGGACATGCAAACTCTGATCTTCTTGCTGAGCACTAACCAACGCCCCCGTGTGGCTCTATAAGTTATCATCGGTGGTCTGTGATTGTGTGCTTCCTGAGTCCTGCTGGACTCCGAGTACTGGATACTTTATAACAATACACATTTATTTATTTTTATTTTAATGTATTCTTTATTGGTGCCACAGTGGAGAAGATATCGAGAGGTGATTTTTAGGTGAAGTTTAGTGAACTTTAAAGGCAGTAGATGGAAATGGGGGCCATGATACTGACAGGTTTACCTTGAAACTAAGCTATTGAAAACTCTCTGTTTCTTCACCATTGTTCCTAATGTTGCATTTTTCCATCGTCATCCACACATTTAAAAGAACATTTTTTATTTCATTTCTTTCTGTCTTCCTGACAGTGGAGCTCCCTGAGGCGGAGAAGTTGACTCTCACTCTGTGTTGCCACAAGGACCGTGCATCCATTTGGAAGACCATCTACTTTGAGTGCCTTAGTAGTGGGAAGCACTTTCTAGAGCAGGTGTTGGTGAGTGAACAGTACTTTGTAAACGTACTTTTCTGATTCACTCAGTAGCTACTTCCTCAAACAGAGTTGTATTTAAAATAGAAATAAAGTCTAAAACAATTTCCTGTCATTTGGCTTATATTAATTGCTATTGTTATTAGAATCATTCAGAATGAAAACTGACCAGCTGTTAGCTGTGATGAAGTTCAACATGAAATAATAATGTGGTACTGGTGTCTATCATTAGGTCACTGCTCTCGACCTGATCAAGCAGGAGGAGTTTCCTCGGCTGAGAGATTTACTGCAGCTGGAGTTTCAGCCCTTGTCTCGGCTGCTGCTGCTGCTGGGCTGGACTCAGTGTCGTAGCCTTAACTCAGCTCAGCAGCTCCTCACTGTCCTTCACAGTGAACAGGTCAGAACCTACTCCCTTCCTGCATCCTACACTGACGGGAATGTCAGTTAAGGTGACACCTTTGTGGGGGTTAAAAGTTTGTGCTTGTGATTGGAGGAATGTCAGTTGACATTGCAGCCTTGTCAAGACTGTACTGTGTGGAGCAAGAAACAAAAACTCTCCTGGTGTCATGATGTGACGCTGATCCTGTTTAAAGGATGGGTAAACTGCAGCGGACAAGTCTCGTAGTGCATGTACATACTGTATATAAAATTGCAAAAAATCTCCTCCTATTTCTTCTTTTTAGTTTATGAACTAAAGGACTATAAAAGACTCGAAGACTTAAGTCATTGTGTGATGTTTCTTGTTGTTTCTTTTTGTTAGGCAGCAGCCAGTGACTGTGTTCTGCAGGACTTTGCTGATCTTTTGTCCTCTCAGCTGAGGATACTTGAGTGGTGCAAAAACAACAACCCGTAAGCAATGATGTCAACATTACACAACATTATGGACATTTATCCCTTCACATTATTCTCTGCTGAATGTAACATCATGTTATAAGGAAACATGCAGTTCACATGTTTGAACCTTGAAATGTTACAACACATAAACACAAGGCTACATTTAAGGAACTACAGTTTTAAATGTTTGTTTTTTTTGGAACAGTAATAAAATATCACTGTTGCAGCACAACTGCTCAAAGAGTGAGCTGAAACAAAAAAGATGATGTCACACGTGATTGCTGTTTAAGTGTGTGTAATTTTACTGTGTATTATTGTTATATTCCATCTCCATCTTCTTCCTCCTGACTCTTTCTTGGCAGAGATATTACCTTGGATGCGTTGTTGACGCAGCTCCACGCTCTGGAAAGTCACTCGGCTCTTTACGTTCTCCACTCTATGACTCCTTTACCCCAGTTTGAAGAGCGTAGAATTCTAGATCTGCTCCAACAACTGCCACAAAAAGCAGGACCAGGTTTGAGTCAGGCAGATTCATTGGATTCTGGAATGACTTTCTGGCTGAAGTCATTCTGATTGTCCTTCTTATTCTTTTTATTCCAGATGAAACCCACGGTTTCCTCAGCCCAGCTGTACAGAAGAACGTTGTGTTGTTTCAGGGTTTCTGTGCCATTAAATACGCCATCTATGCTCTCTGTGTCAATGCTCATAAATACTCCAACTGTGCTGAATGCAAAGCCACGCAGCAGCTAAATGAAGCAGGAGAAGGCCAAACTTCAACTTCTTCAGAAGGTAATGAACCTGTCTTTTAGAAAGAAACAGAGATTTGATCACGTGTGTCACTTTTTTCATTACATGCATTAATCAAAACAAAGTTGAACACTCTATTTTTCAGTACAAATATTGTGGGATTCTGAATTAAACAGTGATTTTGTTCCACTGTGATTATTCCCAGGTTGTCATTTGCGGTTCCAGTTCCAGCACTGTCTCTCAGAGTGTCAGCTCTATCTAGAGGCGGTCCCCGCCATGTTCCGTCTGGAGCTCCTGGAGAACATCTTCTCCCTCCTCTTTCTGTCCACATCTGACTTTACGCTGCAGACTCAAAAAGACACAAACACAAATCTGAACACAACCACTTTAAACCAGGAATGTTCATCTCATAGGAAAAACTCAAATATAGAACCAGAAGCCAAACTAGCTACTGATGAGATCGATCACAGCACAAAAGAGAAGCAGAAGGTCCGTACGTGTTCATCCACAGCCACCTACCACAACCACCTGGACCTGGGGCACTTGATCCAGGGCTGCAAGGGTTTCTTGGCTGATATCACAGCCATGGAGGGATTTCTGAGGCTGCTGAAAGAAGGACTGGAGGGCATGTGTGTGGTGGGTCAGCAGGACGGAGGGAGAGCTCCAGCTCGGCAGGCTGAGGCGGTGGAGAACCTTGGCTGCTCGGTGACAGCGGAGACTTTCGGAGCTCGCCTACAGAAGTTGTCCAAGCGCACGGCGGAGGCTCAGTGGAGGCTTCAGATCATCACCAGCAACTGGGGCAGTGAGAGTGGTGAGACGACAGCATTTTCATTTCAGAAGACGTGCGGTAAAATAGGACATTTCATGATGTAAAATTCATGTGCAGGCCCAGAAAGTCCACTCCACACCTCAGCTGTCAGCAGTGCTGCCACTCCTCTGGGCCGGAGTAAGAGCTCCAGTCTGAGGAGGAGGAGGAGGCCAGGGAGGCATCACACAGAGAGACAAACATCCATCGACAAACACAACGGAGAAGTTAGCACCAGTGCATCAGGTGAGACCAACAGGTGTAAGTGTGAACTAAGGGCTGTCGTTCTCAAAGTTTCTACACCATTTACCACCTCAGAAATATCTGTCTCTCCAAGTACACAGAGCAAAACTAAACTACAGCTAGACTGTGACTAGGAGATGAGGAAGAACATTCATTCCCAATTATCCAACTATTATTTTGTTTTCATTTTGAACCATTGCCTTAGCAGTATTATTTTTTCATTTTGAACCATTGCCTTAGCAGATGCACTTTATAATTTGTGTATATGATAATGCATTTGTAATGTTTATTCTCATTTATTATTATTATTTTTGTTGATTTCCTTTCTGACAGATGGTGGAGGAGTAGGAACTCCAACAGGTTGTGTAAACGTGGAGGTCTGTCCCTGCGGTGGCTCCCATACTTGGCTGGTCCCGGCCATGCTGTCCCCTGCAGAGTCTCTGCTCATGTCTTGCATCCGCCGAGGAAACTTCATGGAGGCTCGTCAGGTCTGCCTGATAAGATATGCTATCTTTGCTCCTTGAACTTACGCAGTAACTTTTTCCAAGGACAGTGAAGGCAGCACTGCCCTCTCTCCTGATCTGCTGTCACCTCTGCAGGTGTCCCTGGTGTTCGACCTGGCCTCGTCTCCCTGTTGTGGGGAGCTTGTGTTCATGGAGCGATACAAAGACGTGCTAGTGGATTTGGCCCAGGTGGAGCAGAAGATGGAGAGTCAGTCCATGTCTTCATCATCATCTTCATCAGAAGGTTTAGGCTCAGCAGCCCTGACTGGCACAGGGAGGGTTCGGCTGGGCAGCAGTGGACGGTCCACTCTGCAGGCCATCGGGAGTGCTGCTGCTGCAGGTTTGATGTTTGGATTTTTTTCTTTGTTCCACAAGATTCAAATCAGCTCATCTCACACTGTATTTAGAATTCTCACTTTAATTCCTGTTTTACCAAAAGCTTACTTTTTATGTAACCAAAAGATGGGAGCTTTGTCATGTGTTAACATAAATGTTGGTTAAAATGGAAACTAAGCTTAAACTAAATTTTCTGAATAAAATCTGAGTTTAAATTTAGAAGACATGTAGGTTCTTTCCTAATCTTTAAAACAATAAAGACAATTCTAACCCTTTTTTAAAAGGTTGACATCAATTAATAAATTAATTTTGTTTAGACTGGCAAGAAATTATTTTTGTTTGTGTCTCTATTCCACACACAATTGTGACATTGTGAGTTGTTACAAAAATTATGAACATTAGTGATATCACTCAAAGTTTAATGTTTTCAAAAGTATTTTCTGGTAATTAATCTTACAAGTCTAAAAATTTACCTCATGTAATAATTAATCACAATCATTTTTACAAGTCTAAAAATTTACCTCATGTATCTTATTTTGTGTTATGCTGCAGGTGTTGCTTTTTACTCCATCTCGGACATCGCTGACCGTCTCCTCAGCACCCCCGCTCACTTGATGCCCTCCCTGGAAGAAGGTTACTGGCTGAGCTGTTGCTCTTCAGACCCTGTTGAGTTAGTTTTCACCCTGCTGGAGGAGCTCAGCCCTGCAGCCATGGCAGCCTTTGACCTGGCCTGCTGTCACTGTCAGCTTTGGAAGACGTCCAGGCAGCTGCTGGACACAGCGGAGCGGAGACTCAACAGCAGCCTGGAAACCAGAGGTGAGTAAAACAAATGAATGCAAGGACAGATATAAAAGCCAAAGAGCATAATGGTTCATTAATATCTGTCCACGCAGCCATACCAGTCGATCACAGAGTCCCTCACCCTGATGGAATCTGTGGATTTCCAATGATATTACATCAGATCAGCAAGATCCTGAATCACTTTGCTTCCAATAAGAGCTCCGTCAAAACAGGTAGGTTTTAAAAGATTCTTTAATTGTCTTTTACTTTCTTTCCGTTTCCTTGTTAAAATGTTTATTTTTTTCAGGGTTTGGTAATAAATAGTGGTGATTCTGTTCATGTCCTACAGGATTTAATCAGTTCAGAAATCACAGTTGAAAATGTCTGACTAGGTTAGCATGGTGTTTTTTATGGTCAGTAAAATACACTGCAACAAAACAAGAATAAATGAATATAAATAAAAAGAAAATGTGGAAATAGTTATAATTTTTATTTTAGTTATTATTATTTTCTTAATTTTAGAAGCAGTGGTGGAGGACCAAGTGTTTGCCACTCCGTTTGGATGCTGCATTCAGGAAGTTCTCCTGTGCTGCCACCCGACACTGACTGAGGAGAGTATCTCTGCTCGTCTCAGTCTGGCTCAACGTTTGGAGACAACACTGCATGTTCTGAGCAGAGCTACAGAAGATTCAGGTCAGTAGAGAAGTCCAGGAGCTATTCTTCTATTGTTAGATGGAGTTTAATGCATGATGACAGTACAGTTAGGATTTTTCACTATATAATATGTTTTACCATATTTTTAAATCTGGGAGAAAATCTAAATCCTTTCTTATATCTGGTGTGATTGCCCCTGACAGAAGGCATTGTGGGTAGTGCTCTTCTGGGCCTGTTGGTGGAGCAGGCCAACATGAAGCAGTCAGAGCTGGAAGCTCACCCTGTGCACACCAACATGAAGCTGCTGCTGAGTTATCTGGACCAGCTCTGTCCATTTGAGCCTGACAGAGACCCAGCCAGACCAGACTATGTCCGCATCTTCATGGACTACGTCAACACGCTCTCCTCTGTGCTGGTTCGCAGCCTGTCATCTGAAGGTGCTGTCAGTTTGCCTTTTTTTTTTTTCTCATTTCACATTTCAGTTTGTTCTAAATGTTCTCACCCGTTCACCTGTCTTCTAGACCAAAGCAGTGAAGTCAAAATGGGAAATCCTCTGCTGGTGTTGCTTCAATCACCCTTTCAGCTTCTTTCCCACCTGCACTTTGACAGACAGGTGTCTCCAGACAGGTATGATTCTAGGCTCCACCCATTCAGTATTAACTACCACACATTTGTTGCAGTTTACTTTTGGAATATTTTCTGGGTAATTGTAAAATACAGTGGTGGACAGAGACCAGTGACTGTAGAATGAATCGCAATAATGCGAAGACATTGGCTAACTTCACTACTGTCTCGTTCCCTTCCAGAGTTTCTGCTTTGCTACAGCAGGAAGGTCTGCAGCTCAGCATCCAGCAAGTGATTATCCAACGATGCTGTGAGTCGTTGCCCTTGTGGTTCTCCTCTCCAGGAACTGAACCAACCTTCTATCAGTCCACAGGAGATGAAGGAGTGTTCAGTGTTTCCAATTTGTTTGCACTCCTCCAACATCATGCACAGGAGCACATGGCAGCTCTCGGAGTTACGGAAACTTTCTCACAGACTCAAACCGACGTGAACTCGGACTCCGAGACCTCGATGGAGGAACAATCCTCTTCACCTGTGGTCATCTCAGCCTCACCGCTCTCTCATTCCTCCTCCTTCTCGTCATTTAACTCTTTTCTTCTCACACCATCAGCTCTGTCTTTTCTCAAATCTCACTCCCCCTTACTGGCCACACTGGCCTGTCTGAGTGCGTGTAAAGGAGAAACAGTCAGGACTCAGTCCTCTGGATGGTCGGGGTATTTTCGCACTGCACGCAAAGAGATTGTCTTAGATTTTGAGCAGATTTCTCGTGAAGCTGACAACCTCCTCAAAGACTTCCCCATCCTCTCATCCTACCTTCACACCATGGCTGAACCAGTGCTGGACACTCCACTGACAGCTGACGTCGACGGTTCTTCCGCTGGCCTTTCATCAGTGTTATGTGGAAAACCTCTGATGGCTCTCATTTTGTCTGGGCCACAGGATGAAGTCACTCAGGCTTTGGCTGCTGAGGCTTTTCAGAAGGCGATTTCTTCCAGAGACCTGACCCGTGCCCTCAGGCTAATGGAGCTGTATGGGGCGGGCTGTAGCCAGCAGGGGGTGCTAAGAGACCAGCTCTTGGCCTGTGCTGCTTTGGAAGGTGAGTTCTGCTCTCATTTCACCTATTAACATTCACATCAGAAGTGTAACTATTCTAAATCAACACCTTTTGTTCATAGATACCTTATTCAGTCCACAAAAAACAAACACACAAATCACATAGAATCTAAGAAATGCATCTTGTTCTTCTGCCTAATCATCAACTGATTATTAAAGCCTTATCTGATATAGAAGGCATTGGATGGTTATGATTGTTAATTTGTCTTATTTTCTAATGTCTAATCCTCAGGTGGAGATAACGGTCCAAGTCAGCTCTTCCGTGTAAACGACGCAAACCTTCGAGGACGTGTTACCCTCTGTGTTTTAGAGCGATGGCCTTTGTCCTCATGTCTGGAGCTTCTGGAGTTCTGTCTGAACGATCCGAACATGGAACCGATGCTGAGGAAAGACCTGGAGCTGAAGAAGAAAGAACTGGACATCTATCACTCGGTACAGTGTTTTCAACATTGTTGTCCATATTTTATGACTATTTCGTTCTCATTACTTATGTAACTCCACTGTTTACACGAGTTTGAGCTTAAGAGAAAAGGGGGAAAGAGAGAAGGAGGGATGATGACAATGACAACAAATGAGAAAAAATTAAACAATGAAAAAGAAAGTAGAAATGATTTAACCACAATTCTGAAGCAGTGGTAGAGATGGTACAGAGTGTAAACTCTGAACTCTATTGTTACATCCAATGGATTTTATCTTAGTAAACGATGTATTTAGTTGTACACTCTGTACATTCAACACCTGTCCATGTTCACCCTTGAATACTAAGTGTGCATGTCTGTTTCCACCTAACTCAGTTTAACTGCTTGTGCCTCATTACTTTGTCACAGATGTTGACTCTACAGCCTCCGCTGCCCTGGGCGACTTGGCAGGAGCTGAGAAACGAGTCTAAGACAAACTCTGAGTCCTTGTTTTCTCTGATGTTGGAGGCAAAAGTAGGTGCAGCAACACCATCTGTTTTTTCAAAAAATCATTCATTAACTCCACTGTGTTGGAAAAAAACCCCCATAGATCTGTTTTTTTCTATCTTTGTTTAATTTGCAGGAGTTTGCTCTTTGTGACCAGTGGGTAGACTTATATCCGGTGTCTGAGCAGCTGAGGCTGCAGCTCAAGACTGAGCATTTGCTTCATCTGTTGGAGAGTGGACACACAGATGAAGCCTTTCAGGTAAAAGCATTGACCTTAAAAAATGTATTTATTTTATATGTATCTGTTTTTTTACTTCCAAAGTGACATCAATCTGACCTGTCTCAATTTTTTGATTCCAAAGTGACATCAATCTGGCCTGTCTCAATTTTTTGATTTGACTTTNGTGACAGTCAATCTGACCTGTCTCAATTTTTTGATTTGACTTTAACGTTGTTGAAGTGAGACATGTCACAATTTTGTGCTGGGGCAGGGTAATAAAAAAATAAAATCAATGGAGGAAACAAGCACGAGGCTAGTCAGTGAAAAGAACACTTATATATATATATGGGTATTCATATATATGTGTGTATATATTTATAGTTTGTATATCTGTTTATAGATATATAAGAGGATCAATAAATCATTCTCAATTTATGATTGATGCAAATGCATTGAAAACAAGTTCCATCAGTACACACTGTAGGTTTATACTGTTTTTGTTTCAGCTGATTCTATTTTTATTATCTCTTCAGTTACTCCATGGTCTCTCTGATCTTCTGGTGGGCCTGGACATTTGTGAACGGGCTCTGGACCGCTGTCCTGGACTGGCAGCCTGTCACTTCCTCTCCGACTACCTCACCCTCCATTTTCAGAAGCAGGTGTCTCCTGCACGTCGACGTCACATCCACGCTCTACATCTGGGCTCAAAAGTTTGTGCATGATAAAGTTAAAATCAAAAAATTGAGAAAGTTGTATCAGTATATTTTTTTATTTACTTCAAACTAAAGTTAAGTTTCAGTCGTTATGTCCTGCAGGTGTTGCTGACTCTGCCCCCTGCAGCCAGGCAGGACTATTTCCCTCTGCTGTCAGAGCCTCTGCTGATGCTCGAGCAGCTGCTGATGAATCTGAAGGTGGACTGGGCGGACATGGCGGTGAGAACCCTGCGACGCCTCCTGGTTGGTCAGGAGGCCGGCTTTGGTACGGAGGACATCAATAAACTTCTGTCAGACTATGCCTGCAAAGCCCTGGACTTCTCCTGTGCACCCAAAGAGCGAACCAGATCTGGTCAGTGGTATTTGAAAATAGAGGAAATCGCACCATCAACCCTGACATTACCTGTTGATTTGTCCTCCTTCTGTTAGGTACAAGCCCTAAATGCAATGTTTTTCTCTCTCTTATTTTATTAACCAAAAATTAACCGTCGGTCATTTTATAAGTGAGCACAGAGTACTTTTCTGTACCACAGTTGTTCTGCTTTGTTGCTTTTGCGTTTAGATAACACAAAAACATTTGTTTTCCAGACTCAGTGATCAGCCTTCAGGATGCCCTGCTGCAGTGTCCTGTTCAAGACACTTGCTCCACATCATCCAACAAATTTGAATCTCCAGCTTCTTCTGCAAGTAAGGAAACAACTACTGGGAGAAATGTTGCAGTTGTTTGATTTGACTTTGGGGAGTTTAAGTGGAAACTGTGACCCAACCTCGTGTCCCCACTTAAGAAGTGCTGGGGTTAAACCCATAAATACAGAGAAACTCTTCTGTTTGTGATTGGACCATTGATCAGCCACAACCACCATTAATAACAAATGAATAGATGAAACTAGGAAAGAAAATTGTTTTTTGAATGGACAGTTCAGCCTCATGTTCTACCTGTTAACCATCCACGTGGTAAGAGTCACCACTGCAGTACATGGAAGCAATGAAAAAGCACTGCTCAATTATTACACTCTGTATGGATTTAATTTTTCTATCAACATCTAAATAAGTGCTATTGACCTCAAACATGGTGAGTCATTTCTAAAAAAAAAAAAATACTGCAAACCCCCAATACTCCAACATGATTCATATAACTATATAAGTGTATTGTTAAAACATTCCTTCTTAGAGTACATTTAAAACAGTAGTCTGGTTAAATCTTTTAATCGTTCCACAGCTCTGGATGTAACTAATCTTTTCCTTTCCTGCTGTTGTTTGGTTATTTGTAGACAGCACCCCCACCCACACCCCCTCCTCCAGCCTATCAGATAGAGAGAGGGATCGAAGCTGGACTGAAAAGAAACGCCGTTTACCTGCGAAGTTCCAGCCTCCGGACCAGCCTCCTGCTCGGAAAGACTGGGTCCCTGACAACAAAAAAGATGTTTGCATGGTTTGCCAGCGTGAGAGGTTCTCCATGGTGAGGAAATCGAATAACCAGAGAGTTGCTGATACTTCCAGAATGTTAAATCTAGTTCTTCAGTGGGCCACACAGTCCCTCTTGATTTAGTAGGGCCTCATGTTGCTTTGAATTTATGCATCAGGGAAACCTTCTCGGCAGTATTCCCAGACATGACTTGGGCAAGCTAAATGAAGCTATTGATGCCTTCCCGGTCCAAAGGAAATCACTGATGTCAATGTAAAAAACAAGTGTCATTTTACACCTTAAAAATACTGACTAAATTGTCATCTTAGACAACAAAGATGACAGGTTTATTATAAGAGGTGATGATGTCACTGGCTCCGAACAGAAGAAATGTGTATTACACAGTGCATCTTTAGTGGAAAAAATTTTTTTGTTTTTCTTGTCAAAGTGGTTTTGCTTAGTGTTTTTAAGCACAGTTTTAGTTTACCTCATGGGTATTTAATTAAACATAGTCAGCAGTATCAGAAGTCGCTGTTTGAAGAAATTTTACCATCGAGGACAAAAAGAGGTAAGAACTTACTCTAATATTTGTTCTGTTACAGTGCAGTCTTAACTCTGACTGCACTAAAGTCTCTTTTGTCTCAGTTTGACAACACAGTGACAGATGAAGTGGTGACACCTAACTTAGTCGCCTTTGTGTTTAAACTTGGGATTTAAACTTGGGTTGTAACTGTGTGTTGTCATGTCTTTTTGGAAATAGTGCTATTGGACAACAATGGACAAGGTTTTCAGTTGAGAAAGGCTCTTGGGTTTAAGGCTCTGATCATTCATTGTTCAGCTGACTGTGTTAACTGTGTAGAATGTTTGGTTTATCTTTTTTTTTTTATTATTTAATTTTCGTAGAATTTATCCTGAATTTTATTGATACATTTTGACGAAATAGGCTTCTCTGAATGAGGAGTTCTTTCCTTCTTTGTGTCCTTACTGGAGTTTGGTTTGAGTTCATCCACGTCACCCAGTTGTTCCACCTGTAACCCAACCCACCAGTGCAGAACTAAGATAAACAGTTTGACACACTTTCTAGGATTGTTTCTTCTGCCAGTTGAAAATACCAAACACAATTCCTGCTTTTATATTTGCAACCAGAAAAACAATATCATATTTATATGACGTTATAAAAACATGATCAGATTGAGACTCTAACTTGCCACTTTTTTGTTACATTCCAGTTCAACAGACGACATCACTGTCGACGCTGTGGTCGTCTGGTGTGTCAGGCATGCTCTGAGCACAAGATGCTCGTTGATGGGTGTCCAGGAGAAGAAGTCAGAGTCTGTGACCAGTGTTACAACTACTTCCACCCAGAGTAAGATCCTTCAGAAAAATACTCTGATTACACTCAATAAAGCCAAGGTTTTTTCTCTTTTGTCTTTCTGAATGCTGGCCCTAATCAGAGTGGATTATTACGTCTGCAAAGTAAAAAAAAAAAAGGAGTCAATGAAATCAAGGAGTCAATGAAAGTGAAGAGAATACATTTATAAGAAAATGTTTTTATTGTGTGATGTTATCCAGAAGTTTTCCAACAGTAGAATATTGATTAAAAACATGTGTAACACACTTGTGCCACTGATGGTGTTGTTTCTTTTTTTTTTGTCAGTTCTGATGATGAGCTGGAATCACCTGAAGGTAGGTTAAAGCTTTATGTTTTCCTTTTCTGTAAAATGTTTGTTATTGACTTGTAAGGAAATGAAAAATCCCCAGTTTTTTTTATAAACAAAGTCATAAAGGTGATCTTTGCGTTTGATGTGCAGCAGTCGGAAATCCGGTGAGGACAGAAGAAACTTTAACTGACATTCTGCATCTGCCTGAAGTTGTCCAAAGAAAGATTCACCTCAGCACAAACCCAGCAGAGAACCAGCTGCTGCGGAGCGAGTTCTACTATGAACAGGTCTGGATTATAAATGATTTTGATTGAGTCTTTTAGTTTTCGTTAGATAAATAATAATCATATACATTTTTTGCTGTGTTTGAATGCTATGCTTGTTTTATTGATTATTATTGTTGTTGTTTTTATTATTATTATCTTACAACAACATATACATAGACACTGTATCTCATCCAGATGAGTTCATATATTAATGAGGAGCTTTCTCAGCTTTCTCATTGTGAAGTACTTCTGACCTAACAACTTACTGACTTCAGTTACTCATTGTGAAGTACTTCTAACCTAACAACTTACTGACTTCAGTTACTGGTCAGGGATTGTTGATGCTGTAAACCTGCCGATTCCTTACACTGTCTGGTTGATCAGTGCATAACGGACAAGGAAACGGCTGATTTCTGTTTTTCTACAATCCTCCAGGCTCCCAGTGCGTATCTCTGTGCCTCCATTCTGTCTCTGCACAGTGACCAGACCTCCTGCGGACATCAGCTCATCTTCCACTGCCGCTCCCTTTCTCGTAAACTCACCAACCCTGAGGTGGATGCCTGCCTTCTCACTGATGTCATGAGGCAGCTGCTCTTCAGCGCCAAGCTGATGTTCGTCAAGGTTGGACGCAGCCAAGACCTGGCCCTGTGTGACAGGTGAGATATGGATGGAGGTTGACGTTGATTTGAAACATTCACGACAGGGTTTATATTATTATCACTGATTCTATGTCACCTACAGTTACATCAGCAAAGTAGACGTGCTCAAGATCCTGGTGTCGGCCAACTACAAGTACGTTCCCTCTCTGGACGACATTCTTGAGCTGGCAGCTGTCTCACGACTTCGTAACCAGCTGCTTGAGGCGGAGTATTACCAGCTTGCAGTGGAGGTGAGACAAGAGGTTATTACTTGACAAGAAAGGCTTGTGGTGAGGCATTGTGTGAAAATGGCATAACAACAAATTTCTAAGTATCAACGTTATACCCATCAGTGCTGAATCTATATCAAGTTCATTTTCTGTTTACACTTGTTGTTTCTGGATGCCATGCTAGGTCTCCACAAAGACTGGCCTGGACCCTGGTGGTGTGTGGCAGGCGTGGGGAATGGCCTCTCTGAAGGCAGGAAACCTTTTAGGTGCAAGGGAGAAGTTTTCTCGCTGCCTTAAAGCTCCAACAGACCGCAACCAACTCAACCAGGGATCTTCACTGGTCCAGGAGATTGTGCAGCATCTGGAGACTGCAGTGTGGCCCGCTGGGAGCACAGTAAGAAGACAGTGTTGCTTTGTGACACAAGAATAGCAGCAAAGTTGAAAGGGGAGATTTGTAAGATAGTAGTGAGACCTGCTATGATGAATGATTTAAAGACAGTGGCTCTGTGGAGGATATGAAGAGCTGAGAATTTCAGTGTGAGTGACCAGGATGGACAGGAGTAGAAATGAGCAGAAGATAAAGTTGGAGAGGTGAGATAATATGGACATGTGTTGGTGAGAGATAGTGGAGATGTTAGACAAAACGTGTAACTAGTAAAGAGGCAAAGGAATGGGAGGAGGTGGAATAATGATCCCTGTGTCGACCCCTGAAAAGAGCATTCTGACTCTTGAGATCAGGAACATTTTTAGACAAATTTTTTTGGCATAAAAGAGAACACAAGAAAAATGTTCTTTCATATAACGTGATGCATACATATGATTTTTTATCATAGTCTTACAACGACGACATCCTTGCCTCGCTGCGGGAACTGGAGGACGCCCTGAACGACACAGTTCCAGCTGAAAGACCGGAGGTCCAACCACAGAGCAGCGGCCTCAACCAGGAGTGTCTGTTCTACCTGAACACATACGGAACTCACCTGGCACTGATCAGCTTCTACATGAGACACGACTGCATGTCAGAGGCTCTGACCTACCTGTTCAACAGAGTAAGAAACTTTACCGTTGTACAGTCTGTGTGCAGGCGATCAATATCTGTTTGAGACAGTGAAGTCCTCACACTTTTGAAAAATGTGTATAAGGAAAATAAGTTTAGATCTTAAAAATATCACTAATGACAAAAATGTTTTAATGTATTTTAAATAATTAATAATGTTTTAAAATTTTAAATCATTTTAATTTTATGGAGCAGTATAATTCAATAAATGTCTTTCATTTTTATTCTCTCTTGACATTTTATTTCTCCTACCTAATTAAAAACACAAATTCTATTGTTTGTTCTAAAATATTGGCCTGCAGCTGTGTTTGCTTCTGTATTAGACTGTCATTTAACGTTTGTTTTTCTGCTTAATCGTGCTGCAGGAGTGTCCTGAGGAGGTGTTTTTAGAGGGTGTGGTACAGCCCACCCTGGAGCGAGGGAAACTTGGCTCTCTGCAGGGAATTTTGGAAAAACTTGATCCTGGCCTGGAAGGATGCAGTCGCTACCTGATTGCAGCCTGCCAATTCCTGCAGCGGCGAGGGTATTTTAATACTCTCTACCAGCTGCAGCAGTTCATGATGGTAAGTGTTGCTGCTGTCACAGTTTTAGTCCAGAGATCACACACCAGCACATTATCAACAGCATCACGTACATAAACAAAAAGTTTATAAATATATATTTGGGGAACATTTTTTTAGATATGGCCCAGTTTAGGCTTAGTGTACATCCATTGTGTTTGGGCCAAAACAACAGAGCTGCATCACAGCCAGAGAGGTTAATTCTCTGAGAGAAAAAGAAAGTCACGCCTTTCAAATGTTCTTCATCCGAGCAGGACCACGTCCGTGCAGCCATGACCTGTATTCGCTTCTTCACACATAGAGCCACTTCGTATCTGCAGCTGGGAGAACAGCAGGTATTTAGACTTTTTTTTTCTACGCTCATGCAGTTTATTAAAATCACGGTGTATCTGAGAGAACGTGTTCTGTTTTGTGCTGGTAAAGCGATGGTTGGTCAGAGCCAAGGAGCACCTGAGGACCTACCTTCAGGAGCAGCAGGCCAGAGGCACGGGGAGGAGAAAAACTCAGGTCAAATCCTTCAGGAAGACAATGTCATCCAGTGATGTCTCTAGGTATGTTAACACAACAGATGACCCTGAGATTAATTAATTGATACCGTATTTGAGTGATTGGCCAGTCCTTAAAACACCTTGGAGTCACAACCTCAAATGGGGTTGCCTTAAACATCTTGTTATTGATATATTTTTTAACTTTTTAAAAAAATAATAAATCATTTTAAATAATGATAAAATGCTGCACACAATATATATATTTATATATATGTATATATATATGAACAGTATGTATACAGTATAACAAACATGATCAAGACCTGATTCTAGGGAGAAAAAATATCTTTGGTCAAAAATAAAATTGTGATGTCAAAATGGGGTCACAAGCCAATCTGCCCATCAAGGCACATGAACACGATCGAGCTGCAGCTGGAGGTGACTCGTTTTCTGCATCGCTGCGAGACGGCTTCTTCCTCCAAGTCTCCTCCACCTTCCTCCAAATCCCCTGGATCCAACTCACCACCCACACTGTTTGGAGGAGGTCCAACGAAGGTGGAGGTGGCCTGTAAGGTGAGCCTCCACTGAAGTCACTCCAGGAAGAACCCTCACTGTGCTGTGTTATGACAACATGGGTTCTTCAGAAACAACCCACTGATGTTGTCTTTGTTGCAGGTGATGCTGGGGGGTAAAAACATAGAAGAAGGCTTTGGCATCGCCTACAGAGTCATACAGGTACATTAGCACTGACAATGCAGTAATAACCCTGACCAAAACTGCTGCCTCTTAACGCCAGGATTAAAATATTCAGTATTTGAATTATTTTGTCTAAGGCTAATATATAGAAATATATGTTAGACCTGGGATATTGATTTATAAATACAGTTTACTTTCCATGGCTAATAAACATAAGACAACTAAAGAAAATGGAACAAAAACATTCAGTCCGTCAATTTTACGTTTTTACGGCAGTTAATCCCGCCTTCTTTTTTCATCTCAGGACTTCCAGCTGGAGGCCCAGGCCGTCTACACCCGGGCCGGTCAGAGGCTGGTTAGATACCATCAGTACGGAGCCGTTCGACAGCTGCTGAAGTGCGTCAGTGAATCAGGAACTGCCACCAAAAACGACTGCGACGCCCTGATCCTCAGCTGTGTCTCTGTGGCTGATAAGGGGCCGTCTGATGTAAGTCATGTGTCACAGAGGTGTCTTTATAGAAAGTAAAAAGAACATAGATGGTTATTCCTTTCAAGAAAGATAAAGATGGAATTTGTTGAGATTTGTGACATTAATAAACTAATCAACACCCCTTAAAGAGGGATTTTCTGATAACAGTGCAGGGATGTGATCTCTGTTCTGCTATTTCTTTATCTAAATTCCAGGCAAAAGAGCTGGAAGGTCTCATTCTGGAAACAAAAACCACAGAAGTCAAGGTAATGCAACAAAGACTCAGTTACTGTTCTGCTGCTCTCAGTTTTCTGCCTGCAGGAACCTAATGAGAACAGCAGTCACACAGCCCTCTTGGTTATTTTCCTGTGAAAGCTGTTATTCTTCTTTCTCCTGAGAATAGTCGTGTGACTTCTAAACTCCCTCTGTTGTCAGATCAAAGCCTACCTGCTCTGTGGTAAACTGCGACCGGCGTATCTGCTGGCGGTGAAGCTGGAGCCCAGCAGGGCCGGACCTCTGGTCCAGGATGTTCTTCAGGCTGCTGAGTCAGCACAGGACTCTGTGATGCAGAACATCTGCAGGCAGTGGCTTTCTGAACATCACAACAAATCATCTCAACAGCGTCAGAGTCGACCCAGTGCCAGGTAAAGGATCGGCCAGCACAACAACATGGGCAACAGCAGGGGGAGCACTTTAACTTATGTCACTTCCAGATGAAGACTAAATGAATACATCAGGGTTTCTGCTGTGTGTGACTGTAGAAACTGAATGATTATGTTTGTAAAACGTTGAAGGTTAAACTCCCCTTCTTTGAGTGCACGGTGTTTGTGAAGCACAGCCCAGACTGTTCAGATAAGACCAGGGCATGAAGAGAATTTGGTCCTAATAAGATCACTAGACTGTTGAGCAGCCAAGGACACTCCTGTGTCACTGTAAAATGAAGTAGTACTTCATCTGGTACTTTAATTTAATTCTGGAATCTCAGACACACACACAGGTACTGGGAGCCCAAGTACTGTCAGTGGTTTCCATGCCATAATTTGAGAACCGCTGCCGTACCACATTGAAACCCTGGTGACCTACTGGTCTGCATCTGTGAATTGCTGCTGTCTATGACACACAATATTCACCACTGTGCTTTATTTACATTTCTGTCAACCCTCACCTGTAAACAGAATTCTAGGGAACAGAGTAACTTGTGGTGTAGCCATCCTTGCAGCATATCTCCACAGTGGGGCAGTATTTGAGAGTTAAGGTTTATATCCTACCTCAGCCTTAAGGGAAAATGTCCTAAACTGATGGATGTGTTACTTGTTGTCACTAGTATCGTTTCCATGACGTTTTTAATTGGGTCTAAATGTTTGTGTGTGGTTTTATTTTATTCTGATGTGAATGCAATGAAATACGCCTGATTTGTTTGATCCTGGTGAAGTTCTATAGCTGTTCCCTCTCTGCTCAGCTCTCATCACGTTCTCCCTTTTGATAGTGAAGGAATTTCAAGTATTTAAGGGCATTAACAGACAGGTTAGGACTGGAAGATAAAGGGAGTAAATTATTAAAAATATGCAACGGTATCATCTGTGCAGACGACACTTCTGTCTGTGAATAAGCAGCTTTAATGTCTTTATCATTTCATGTTTTTAGGTCAGATTGTAAAATGTCAAAAGAATATGAGAGAAATAGTGAATATATTGAGAAATGAGACCAACGTATCATGTATAAGGATACATATTAAAACCAGATGAACATGCTAACGTGCATTTCTAACAGCGCATTTTGCCTGGAGCTAATTTGAACTTATTTCTGAACCAGTCTCGGTGTTAAATTAATGTAATGTTGCAGAAAAAAAGGATGTGACTGTGTTTACGTGTCATCCGTCGATGTGCAGTTCTTGATATTGTCTGCTTTTTCTTCACAATTTTTTAGTGATTCACCCAAAGAATCAATGGATTTTGTAGCTTTTATTCAGGCAGATATAAGTGTGTAGGGATGATCTGGAAAGTTACACGCTTTTCATCTATGTGTGCACATTCTGAGGGCTTATAGACGCATCTTGGAAAACAATAATTAAAGTCTGGACTTCTGGTCAGAAAATTATCAGAAACATTTAAAACCTTGGGGAAACACAGTACTAGATGACTAGATGTAAATGGCGTCAACAAGTCGACTCACACAGAATCCTGAAACGACAGTTGTGATCAGCACCACATGATGAAAAACCAGTTTTTTTCTTTGTCATTTTTTTAACTGATAATTGTTAGACGACATTCTTGCACTGTTACCGTCTTTACCTTTGACTCTTCTCTCTTCACTGCCGCACTTTATACCACCAGGTTTGTAAATATCCGCATTTGACGAGTGGTGAAAAAGAACAAAGTGAGTGTTAGTGATGCAGGGATGATTTTGCCACTTCTTGTATAAATAAAATGTGAAATAATTAAAGACATTGAATAGAAAAATGAAACTCTGTAATTGTTTCCCCACAGTGGCCACCGTAGGTGGCCTACATCTGTACAACAAAGACAGTTCATACACAGAAACAAGCAAAGAAAAGTGTCCATAAAAACAACAACAATTGGATTTAATTCAAATAGATTTCTCTTTTGTCCCCACAACCTCGCTGTTACCCAGGGAGGCCCGCCTCCAGTTGTCCCATGAGTAGTCAAAAGCAACAAACTGTTGCAAATACAGCCAAATGTAAGTCCTAAACTGGCTGAAGATTAGAAAAACAGACAATTAATTAACTATATTTAGAAAAACAGACAATTAATTAACTCAATTAATTAATTAACTTAAGAGAGAGATATAGTTAATTAACTTAATTAACTATATCTCCAACCCATCCAAATGGAATCTGCTCCAAAATTAAAAACATAAAACACGGTTCAGCTGTTTAGGTGTAGTGATACACATCTGTGTTTGTACAACATTTGGATATTAATTTCCAAGATTTTGACCCTGTAGCAGCTTTGGTTTAAAAGCAGCAGCAGGTTGTTTCCCAGCAGAAGGTCAGATTCCTGTTTCTGCCTGTCTACATGTTAATGAGTCCCAGTCTCTCTACACCTGACTCCCAACTGCTCCTGCTGCCCGGTAAATGTAAGTAAATCCACAAATACTGTAGTTAAAATGTAGTATAAAGCACTGTGTGAACAAAGTTGCTCATTTGAATTACTGTTAGTCTTTTGACCAAATTCTGACTTAGTCACATTCCCAATTCAGTAGAGTTAAAATTTTAGTTTGTTTGACGTTATTTTTGATCATTTTAATTATTTAAAGATTCAATAGAATAAAATGCAATGTGTAATATTATGTTTTACAATTTTACTGTATTCTATTTATGAATTCTTATTTTGGGCTTGTAAGGTATTGTAATAGAATATTTTTTATTTGTCATTTTATATATATTTAGCTTCACTCCTCTTGAGTGTAGCATGCTGGCTCTCATTGGATCAACGTTTACCTGTCCCGCCTTCTCGTCAATAAGAAATTAGCAATCGTTTATATGACCTAATCATCACTGATTGGCGTTCATCCTTGTCTGATTTCTTCCGTGTTGTTTTTATTGGGTAATTCGTCATTGTCGTTTAGCCCCTCATACCTTGTGAGTTTTCATCTGAGAAAGAGTCTTTGACAAAAACAATTCGACAGCATTAACACTGACCGTGAGTCTCTAGTTCTTTTATTATCAATGTTTATTTTACATCAAATGTAAACATTCAACTCTGGACATGAATGAACTCTATGTGTAGTAAAAGGCAGATTCTGCTTATATAAAACACACAACGTCATGAGAAAAAAGATACAAACGTCGACCTTTTTCGCGCCAGGAATGTGCCGTTTTTGGCGAATGGAATAGAAACACGTTCTGTCGATATGACAGTGAAATTATCCACTTTGATTCAAATAGGGGGAAACAAGCTTCCTTATAGCACGGACTGTACAGATATCACAAAATACATCTATGGTATGTAATTCAAGCTCATGTGGTGGGACAGGTTGATGAAGATCTCTCATAGTGTCCTGGTTTTCTCCAGATCAATCTGGATTTAAAATGTAAGAAACCCTGCAACTGTGTAGAAAATTTGGCACAAAAGTGAAGTGATTCTGAGGAACTCTAAACAAGTAGTAATGGAGACAGATGCTGGTTTTTTACCCTGACATAACCATTCACAGTAGCCTACAGAAGAGGTCCCCAACCCCTGGGCCCCAGACCGGTGTAGGCCCGTGGGTCATTTGGTGCTGGGCCACAGAGACAAAACATTATTTTCATCGTATTGACTTTTAACAGGAATTAACATGATTTGTTTTAAAAATTAGATGATCTCCCAGTGTTTGCCTCATTTACATCTGAAGTGTTTAACATTGTTGTCAAGTTTCTGTAAATGTGCTTGAAAATACTGTAATGTTCTCTGCTCTGACTGGTAAATACTCAGGACCTTTGTTGTCCAGGATGTGCCGTCTGTGTGTTAGTTAGTGCCCACATTTTCAGACTTACTGTAATTCATTCTCAGAATCCCATGGTGGCTGACACCTTGACTGCTCCATTACATGAGCAGCTGGGCTTCTATATACAGTACATATGTGTTTCTCACCTGCATCTTAACAGTCATTCGTAAGATGTAACACTTTGTGAGCACCAACTTCTGCAGATAAAACTACATGTGTTTTTGAAGCGGACTGCCAAACTCATCATTTAACAAATTAGGTTAAGATTGAAGAATGTCTTTAAGATGGAAAAGCCCACAGACGCAGCAGAAACCTGTTCGTTGATTCTCAGAAACACTCCAGTTCGCTCTGCATGTTAAGTGTCACTTTATAAGACCTTCATAAGTGTTTGTATAACAGTCGTATCACTTTTATTTTGCAGTGTTTATCCACCACACTTTGAAACCTGTCTGTGGCACCAGCAAGGTCGGGGACCTCTGTCCTAGTACAGAGAAAATATGTGTACTGTATATTTAATGTACATCATGTTTTTTGCTTAAGCTGAAGTCACATTGTTTTAGAGTAAAATATACATACGATTATAAAAGTCTGTATCTCAGAAAAATAGTGGAAAGGTTGTAGATGACTGAAGCTGTTGCATCAGCATCAAAGCAAAGTTTCACTGAGGAATTACTGCATTGATACACAAAAAATGGTAATTATTTAGAATGTTGACAGATGAAAAAATTGGATGTTGACCGAAATTAAATGGACTTTTAAAAGAACTGAGACCTGCTCCGTAGTGAGTGTGGTCATTAAATCAAAATAGACAAAGCCCTGGAACTACATCCATGGTTTGTGGAAGTGTTATAAATTATGAATGATTTTTCCTAACATTTCCTATTGACTTCTTTCATATGAAAGTACTTCCAAAACCAGTTGAACACTTCCAGGACTTTTGTTTTTCAATTTGCAGGCAGAATGTCTATGTCCACATATGGACTATGATTAAACCCAGTAGGATGTGCAAGTCAAGTTTTTTCAAGTGCCAAACCAAGAGGTGGCGCTATAGCCCTATCTATGAAGCCATGTTGGCCAAACAGAAGCTTAACAAAACGGCTATAAACTTATTGTAATTGGCTCAAAACAAGCGAAAAAAAAACCCTGCTCCTAAACGGCATCACTGAAAATCTAGTCTCTTAACTGTCAAGGGAATTTTGAAAAATTACTTCGTCATTATTAAAAAAATACCCAATGTACACGTGGACAAGGTTTGACAAAATCATGGTTCAAATCATTCCCACTCAATACCAAGAAGTTCACAGCTGACGTCCCACAGTCTCTTCGCCGTCTGGTCGTTTCTTCCTTGTGGAGCCACCGAGGCCGGAGCACAGTCACTGAAATAATGAAAAATAAAATCCATGACTGACATGACGTTAGATCTCAAGACGCCACCATTTCCAGAGAAAACGGTGATTTATTTCAATGTGACCTGCTGTTACTGTATTTATCCAGGAGAGGTCAGTAGAGAGGGGAAACTCATTCCATTCTAGAGAACCATGCCAACATGCGGTCATGTGTAACATGTTCTTTCCTTATCACCTGCTCCAAGGTAAGTTGAGCTGTTTCCAGCCTACTGACTATTTATTTTAGGGTTGTTTTTTTTAACTGTAAAGTCTTAAAACTATTGTTTGTTTCAGTTTAGTAGATGTTGCTGAAATTAGGTCATTTAATACAAAATACAAATAGAAAGGTTTTAAAAAATAATATATGAACTGTTTCAGATTTACCTCGTTGCAATAACACATTTTTACACAAAGTGTGTTTCTGATAAGATTATAAAATGTTTCAGTTTTACACAAAATGTAGCAAAAATAACCACAGGGGTGTAAACACTGAGTATGAGTCTCTAAGTGGCAACAACTTAACAACAAAGGTTTAAAAAGGCAAGATACTGCAAAAGGATGCAACTAATGGCTAAAGGGTTAGCAACAAGACATCAAAAATGGTTAGAAAAATGGCTAAAATGTGTGAATTTAAGATTTTTAAGACCCATCTAAGACTTATCTACAATGCAGCAAAAACAACTAGATATGCCACAGTGTATATTCCTGCCATAAAAAGCTACAGATCAGCCAAAAAGATCAGTAAAAATACCAAAACATCAACAACATTTAAACACATAGCAAAACAAATTTAAGTAGACAAGACAAAAATTAGATTCATTTTATTTTAACTGAAGCTGACTCAAACAATTACCCATAAATATCTTGAAATGATCTTAAGGTTAGCCAAAAATAAAGGATTCCAATATTAAAAGAGCCCAGATTTGCCTTGTCCACCAAAAGTTAGCTAAAGAAATGCAAAGATTTACCCAAAGGTTAGCGAAACTGTCCTATGGATAGCGATCATATTATCCTCAATTTAACTTTAGCCTCAAGATTCATCCGAGCTTCATTTGTCAAACAAAATGAAAGTGCATAACGTTTTGCTCTAACTGAAGATCACTCACCTGAAGTATTTCCCGCTGACAGAGTGCAGCTCCTCGGCTACAGCACAGTAGATGGTGGTCTGAGCTCCTTCCCGTGGAGTTTTTATGAAGATGGAGAAGAGTGACATGAAGATCATCATGAGGGTGGAGTGTCTGGTAAGGTCAGAGTTCACCGTCCCTGGGTGGAGGGCGTTCACCGTCACATTGGTGCCTGTGGAAAAAGGCTACGGTCACTGATAAAGTATAGTATTTTCTCAACTGTGACTTTGACTGTGACATTGGATGACTGCAACTGCAGCCAACTAAAACCACCGTTTGGTTGGTTTCCAGTGTTTCTATTGTAGTTTTTTCTCATTTGTAAGAAAACTCATGTTATTTTCAATACACTGTGCTGTATTTTTTTGAATTGCTTTTGGCTCTGACTCTCTGACTGTGTGTTTTCAGAAGCTGATCCAAACATCTGTTGAGGCTCTTTGAATTTGTGGAGGCTATTCTTGTGACTGACGATACCTTTGAGTCTTTGAGCCAACTCTCTGGCGAACAGCAAATTTGCCACTTTACTCTGGCAGTAGGCCAGTCCACCGTTGTAGCTGCCCTGACTGTGAAGGTCGTGGAAACGTATCCATCCAAAGTAGTGAGCCAGGGAGGACACCACGACGATGCGGGCCGGAGCGCTGCGTTTCAGGAGGCCAATCAGAAGGTACGTCAACAGGAAGTGACCTAAAACATACAGACAAGTATTTCTGCTATTTAATCTGTGTTCAATTTAAAAAGTAAAGGGGAATTACAAATTAAACTTTATTGAGATTAATGTGTTTTGTGAATTTGGGCTCTAAAGATTAAATCAGCTTGCGTCGGCATGACACATGTAAACAGCTGTTTGATGAACCAAGGATTTTTAACATCAACAGCATCTTTAAATGTTCTATTCTGAGTTTTGGTCAAAGTTTAACGACCTTTGAAAGACATATAACCCCACACAATGGTACTGGTTAGAACAGAAAGTTAAATTCTCACCCAAGTGATTGACTCCAATATGCATCTCAAAACCGTCAGCAGTTTTAGTGTAAGGACACATCATCACACCAGCGTTGTTGATGAGGATATGAAGGTGATCGAAGTCTGTAAACGAGAAGCAAAAAAATAAGAAAATCCAAAAACATGGCTGCCATGGCTCCTGTTTTTAAACTGCAGCTGTGTTTAAGTAGATGTGAATCTTTAACATCTCTTTGGTGCACACCTCTCAGGAACTCCTTTGCAAAGGCACGTATTGAGCAGGTATCTGCCAAATCAAGTCTGCGGACTTCCAGTTGTGCTTTGGGGTCAGCAGCTCGTATACTGGCTGCAGCCTCCTCACCCTTCTCCACATCTCTGCAGGCCATTATCACCCGAGCACCTGGGAGGTAAAACAAAAGAAAAAAAAATTCAGTAGTGAAATAATGGGAAACTACGCAAATCCACAGTAAAGTAAAAATAGTTGATTCTTTATTCTTGTTAGGTCTCCTTTGTTTTCTAATTCCAGAATGCACATTACACTACGAGCCATAAATTGTTTTACGACTATGGCAAAGACATCTGCGTTAATGCATGTAGACGCATGAAGCTGACGCCCATTTAAATATGAGGCAAGTCATGACCTGCACCGTTCTCTGAAGCATGCATCAGGAAACACATATGTTCACCTCTCATTGTCAAATCCCTGGCTGTCTCCTTCCCAATCCCTGTGTTGGCTCCTGTGATGAGGACCGTCTTCCCGTCCAGGCGAGATGTGGATGTGCACACTCCTCCTGATGCATATTTTCTGTTGACAATCAAATACTGCAGAGTTCAGTGTTTCACTGACACTGATGTTTCACTGCTCAGACACATTTCTTCATTTCACAGAAAATTTTTAGTAAAACGTGATTTAACAGCAAATGTTAAAATCTTAATCTAAAAGACATAGGCCATAATCAAGAACTCTCTACCACTTTCTCTCTAAAAACAATAATTTTTAACCTAAGAAGACAACAGGCTTATTATAGAATATTGGTAACGGGTTTTGTTATACCAGAAAAACATACATCAAGGACCCAGAAGTGATCCTTGAGGAATGCCACATCTTTCAGATTTTCCAATATATTGTGCACAAATGTTAAGAAGCTCTTATTAGCATATATATAGTTTATAGCTGCAGGTATTACGTGTACCAAACCACGTGGGTTTGAGGGGAAAATTGATAAAGAATTTAAACAGAAATGTGGATGGTAGCCACTGTAAAATCGTACGACCCACGCAAAGGTGAAGAGCCGCCTTTCCACCAATAGCTGCGCAGAAGTCCTGCATGTAAATAAGACCCTTTTCACATCCTGTCTTCTGATTGGTCCGAACAGAAGGCGCAACAACGTCCCACAGACCTACTGTCATTGACTTTTTTTCTCGATTTGAAAAGGATCAATAAAATTTAAAAATTAGGTCGAATGGCGACGAATTATTTTTGAATCGTATCAATAAACCAGATCATCGGAAAACGAAACGATTCACTGTCATTACCAACCAATGAGCATCTATGTCGATTTGTGCGTGATGTTAACGACATTCCATTTATGTTACATTGAAATAAACAATTTTATCTTTATGTTTATCGCTCCTCTCACCTGATATAAGGTGCAAATAAAATGAGCAGTGTCGTCACCACAGCAAGGCCTGCGACGATCGTTAACAGCAGCATCGTTCAATAAAGCAGCGTCTGTCTGTGCCTGCAAGCATAAAAAAATCCACTGTTCTATTCTGAGGGTAGATCAGCTGAAGTCAAGGAAGGAAATGGAGAGCTAGATGACGTAGATTCTGTACGTTGAACCATGGGATTGTAGTTTTACAGCCTGAAAATAAAACAAATGAACTGATTTGATATGATTATGAACAAAAAACGAATTATATGTGTAATATAATGATTTAACTGCAAAATACCAAACATTTTGTAAGAATTAAGGGTATTTAAAACACACTTACACTAAAATAACTAACTAACTAACTAACTAAAATAATATAATAACTTAAAGGTATTTAAAACACACTTACACTTTGATGTGATTTACAACTAAAATAATATAATATAATAATTTCTGTTTTATTTAGAATAAATTGAAATGTAGTTTACAAATGATTTTACAAAATTTAGAATTTAGAAAACAGACAAATGAAAAAACGTCATAGACCCAGGATTGAACATGTAGTCGTAGGTGAAATATGCCCACAGATTATCTTGCATTGCCAATAGCATGTACAAGATATTCATTGTGTAAAATATATTACCCCAAAATATTTATTTTTTACGCGCATTTTAAAGTGTTTTAAAAACTCTGTCTAAAGGTCTGACAAAGCCTGTCTCAAGAGCGCCTAACTAAAAAAAAACCGTTTCTATTATTGACTTTACTCGAACTTTTAAATTCCACAATTAAACAAGTTATGTACCAATATAATATAACCCGTGTAATTGCTTTAATTTAAATGCCACGACTTAACCAAACCTTTATTTGTTTATTTTGATTAGGCGCAAGAGGCACTCAGTCACGAGGTCCATCATGCGGAAGTGTTGAAATCTGATTATCACTAAAGGGAAAGACGTGTATTAGTTTATACATCTGGATTTAAAATTCAACCCTGTTTGTCGTTAGCAGCTGAATGTTGAAGCAAAATGTCGTCGGAAGAGTTTGAGAAGTTACACGAAATTTACAGGTCACTGTACGAGGAGCTGAAGCTGATGCCAGAGAAGGCTCTGAAGAGCCACGGAGGTAAACACTGATGTGTTTCATTTTGTGTCGTTAACTACTAGATGGTTATGAAGTAAAATGAATGGTGAAAGAATCGCCACTGACACAAATAAAGAGTTTATTACGAAAAAGTACGTCATCAAATCAGGCACCTAGGTTTACCTGGAGAGAACTCGGAGCCAATGTGAATCCTCTATATAAACGGCCCCAATTCTCCCACAAACATAGCTTAGTTGTCATCGTAAATTTTGAGACAGATCTAAGACTCATACACTCTTAGTCCTCTCCTAAAGTTAGTGAAGTAATGCACTCATACCTTTTAGTCATAAATCAGGCTCCTTTACTGGACATATCAAAACAATGAAGTTAAGTTAATGTAGAGTTCATATAGTAACTTCAGATACTACACATGCTAAATTGAATTAAAATTAATTACAGGTGATGCGTGCCAAAATAATTAAAAAAGGGGTTTTATTTTGTTGTTTTCTTCACCAGAAGAAAGAAAGAAGTTGGTGAGAATCTTTGATGAGAGACATGGGGAGGCTGAGGAAGTGGTAAGGATTATTTTGTTTTGGACTGGTTATCTGATAAACTACTCGGACTTGTTGGAGTTCTTGACAAATGACAAATATCCTCCTGAAAAACTAAACCTGAATACATGTCCTGAGTTGTTTGTTGTGCTATAATTAACACATTTCACTGACAATGTATTTGTCTCTAGTTACAAGGAATGGAAGAGGAGCTGCGCGTTGCTCCATCTTCCTATCGAAATTCAATGTCTACAAAGCTGCGTCTCTACCGCCGGGATTTGGGAAAGTTGCAGAGAGATATGAAAAACTCTGCTCCGACCTTTGGCTCCTCCTTCTCCTCTACCCAGCCAGTGGGAGGAGGTCATCATGGCATCTACTCAGTACAAAATGAACAAAGTGTAAGTCTGGGTCTCGTCTGTGGCACTAATGCTGTATAAACATGGTGAAGGTAGATCATCAGTGATGGATGGGAGTTGTTGATGTCTGGAGTTTTTAATGAATTACTTTTAAGCACCCTTTAATGTTGTTAGGGTGACAGATTTGTAGCTAAGTAATAATATTAATTGTTGTTTTATTATGCATTTATAACAGACATTTACGTTATCTTAATGTGGCTGCAGGCAGCAAAAATAAATTACTTTAATGGTTTTAGATGCTGTCTATGCAAAAATAAATCATTCTGGTTTTGGAATCAATAACATGGTGAAAGAAGAACAATTTTCACTATCATTGTAAACATAGGCACATATACACAGATGTAAAAAAAATGTAATGCTTTATTTGTCAGAATTAATGTACTCCTGGTGGAATTATGCGATTTTGTCCCATGTTCTACAGACACACCAACAGTCCCAGAGAACTCTGCTTCTCCAGGGCACTGAGTCTCTAAACAGCGCCACCCAGAGTATCGAACGCAGCCATCGCATCGCTGCGGAAACGGAACATATCGGTACAGACATCATCGAGGAGTTAGGGGAACAGCGAGAACAGCTGGACCGGGCCAGAAACAGAGTGAGCTGGGATTTCTGACCAGATGATGTTATATTTGTCACTTCTTTCTTCTGATGTTCTGATGTGGCCAGTTGTTCAACTTGCTTTTGATCTTATCCCTTTGTGTTTTGGTACTTTTAGTTGGTGAATACTGGAGAAAATCTCAGTCGAAGTCGAAAAATCCTTCGCTCCATGTCTCGACGGTAGGTTCATTCCTTGTTGCAAAATTTTGACATTTATACGAAGAAATAAAACATTTGTTAGTTTTGTGTCAATATGATAAATGTTTAATATGAAGGAGCTTAAAATCTCCTTTATTTAACACAAGTGTTAATACTTTTCTGTGCGTGTGACTTTTCCTTCATAATTTCGAAGATAAAATCACGCTTCTGTAAAATTATTTCTAGGAACTATTTTTTTCTGCACATCTGTCAATGAATCTCATTGTTATTTTCTATCCTATAGGTTAATGACAAACAAGTTGCTTCTAGCAGTTATCATCCTGATGGAGCTGGCCATCCTGGGTGCCGTGGTTTACCTCAAGTTCTTCCGAAGATGATCTCAGTTTTCATCAAATGCTCAAAGTTGTCTTCATTCTGTATCCAGGGCAAACTGAGAATGTTCTCCAAATGTGACTTTGCAGCAATAATGCTCTTCCCTCTCCAGTCATCTGATTTATTTTAGTCGTGCAAACATGGACAAGACTTTTAGCTTTAAAGTGACATGTTTTTGTATTGCTCCTGTCCTATAAAGGGTGACGTTAATTTAACAAGAAATGACAGTGTTGAACCTGTCTATGGACCAAACCTGCAGAAATCTCCATGAAAAGAGGAAGTGTCATGGGGTTTTTCTGGACATGCCTATGCACCTTTTTCTGAAGCGTTTCCTCTGCTTGTACTGAGAGGAATTAGTGGAATGCCAACAGTGAAGACTGTTGCTCATGTGTATACGCTCATGGTTCTTAACTGTGTGAATGGGTTAAATTAAGTCAAGAGTTTTGTCTAGTTAACCCAACCAGACTGTATGACCTAATCAGTTAGGTTGATCAGTTCTGAGACGATTACTTCTCTGTTCATGTTTAATATTTCTCCTGTGAATATATAAAACCACTAGATCAACCTCTATGTTTTGTTTTTTTTTTTTTGTTTTTTTTTCTTTTAAGGGATCAATAGTTGATATTACCATGTTTGGCAGCGCCCCCTTTTATTGATCGGGCTATGGTGTTGTCGAGTCCTCCATCAACAACCACTGCTTTAAAACTCCAGTAAACTCCATTGGACTCCGCTGTTGAAAAACTCTATTTAACCCACTGTGGCACAATAATTATCATGAAAAAGTGGAAATTTAAATTTCTTTGTCTCATTGTGAAATAGCTTTGTAGCAGCAATAGCTCTGCACCCTGGGAAAAACCAGTATAGTGAAATATTAGTCCAAAATAGAAGTGTTGAAATGAGATGTTGTAATGTTTTTGTTCCTGAGAAGTTACAGTAAGGCCAACAGTCCAGGTCAGAGGTGTGGCGGTGGGGGACACAAGGTCAGATGTACGTAACAATCATTTCCTCTCAAGTTACTGCTAAGCAGTTGCTACTACATTAAAGTCCAGTTCTAACCCCCAATTTACGTTGTATCCGATTGTTCCAGGAAAGGCAGACAGGCAACAAAGAGAGTTTGAAAAACATCTACTGTGAAACAACATCACCAGAATGAGTCACAGGCTGCAGACGTGGAGCAGGTCAGGTTAGTTTTCATGACAAATGTCATTTCCCTGACAAATGTTTGATTTGCATAAGAACATTTTCCCTGCAGGATTCGTTTTAATGAGACTGTTCTCATTACAAAAACAAGTTCTTGAGGCTGCTATAAATTCTTTGTAATTATTTGCACGTTAATTTATTTCCCATGGGGTCTTTCACAGCAGCTTGGCTGGGGTTTAGGTAAATAGCAGGCTGTTTCCTGAGATGACCAGTGGCTCCTGAGTTTGTTTTGCGAGAACAGAAACTCCCAGTTCTGCTCATTGGAATTAGTTTGCAGCGGAAGAAAAAAGAAAACATCAAAAATGTAAAGTCTTTGACTTGTAAAGTCTATTGGAGACTAAAAAATAAACTCTGTTTTAATGACAAATCCATCAGTAGCCTCATTGTAGCAGATACAGAGGAGACAGGAGATTGAGTCAAACTTAATTCTGCTAATAATAATATTAATATTTATAATCATTGTTTGCCAGCATTGGCAATGAAATGTAGAAAGGTACATTATAAGAAGAAATCCTTACTCAAATTACCAGGTATAACATGCAGTACTTCTAGTACATGTATTGTACTATTCATGAAATGCAAAAAAAAAAACAAATCAACCTCAAAATTACTATAACCATGTCTGGTCCAAAAGTGCACACGAGTAGTTTTTCTTTAACTAACAGCCACATGGCCTTGTTGTTTTTTTCGTTCTTCCTGTAACTCTGTGGCAGGTCAGACTTAAACATAAACACCATAATAAATATGTGGCAGCTGTGTCATCTTAAAGTTAAGTTAAATACAAAATAGTTTAGAACAGCAGTAAAACTCTGCAGTAACACATCCTTGGTGGTAGCAGTCTCTACAGTGAAAACTTATTCTTCTCTGCATCCAGAGCTTTCATAAAGGTTCACATTTTTTTCAACCTTAAACACTACAACATTCAGCAAAGAGACAAGAATCATTTTTCAACACCACTCTCAGTCATTCATAGTCTTCTGTTCAAACTTGCGGAATGGTCGCGTATGTTCGAGTCCATTGCTTTACTGGACGGCGTCTCAGAGGCAGAGCTGCTCTGTGTCGTCCTTTGCTGACGGAATCTCCATATTGGACCCGTGGGCGCCCTCTCTCGTCTGTCCCAAAGACGAGGCAATGACATCGACCGCGAGCGAGGCAGTGGCCTCTACGGCTTCAGGGTTGGCCCCCAGCATGGGGTTGACTTCTACCAGGTCCATGGCTGACAGCAGGCCTGCACAGCAGCACAGTCAAGAGTTAGGAAACTACAAAAACAACACGCGTCTGTTTAAAGATGTCCGGTTTATGTGGACTGTTTCTGTACCTGTGTTGTGAATTTCCTCTGTGATGTAGATCCCCTCCCTGTAGGTCAAACCTCCGTTCACCGGTGTTCCTGTGGCCGGAGCCAGCGACGGGTCAAAGGCATCGATGTCGAAGCTCAAGTGGATTGGGCGCTGTTTTCTGTTCATCAGGATTAGAGAGATTATTTGTGAGACTCGGTTTCATTCTTCCTCTTTCGGCTTTGTCCCTTTTTTCAGCCGTTTCATTATTTTATTAATTAATTGGGCAAACTTTTCATTGTGATACTGTTGACAAATAAAAATAAAAAAAAACTATAGAAAATAACATGACTGGACAAAGCAACAGAGAGCTAACGTTGCTCAGCTAATGCTAGCAGTTTTTTTAATGTATCGGTCTCAGGATAACAGTGGAAGCACCATGTTAGCTACAATGTTAGCATAAGAAGAGATGTACCTTGCCAAAAGGTGGTCTAGAGTAGCTTCCATCACTCTCTGGATTCCCAGTCTGTCAATGTCCCTCATTGTGAAATACTGGATTCCCAGGTCTTTCAGGATGTGACTGCAGTAAAGACCATTTAAGCATCAAGGACTGTTGTCACAGTGTTAACCCATTTTAAGTTCACATCTGCTGCATGTTTGTTTTTTTTGTGGGTAACAACTCACTGCTCTCCAGGGTCCACGTCCCGCAGACCGATGTACACCAGGTCCCTGGAGGAGAGGAACGGCTTCATCCAGGAAAAGCCAGGGAGTGACGGCATCTGAAACATCAACAGAAACTGATACTGAAATATGAACACAGTACATCCAGGGAGCGGCAGCTCTTGAAGGTGAATTTTTTTTCCATATGTCCGAAGCACAGAATGTGAACATTGCTTATTCCCTAATATATAGAAACTATTATGGGATGCCTTAAGGTTTCGTCCTACCTTGCTTTGCAGTTCTTTGAGCATGAAAGCCACAGGTTGACCATGGAGGTTTCCTGATGGAGAAATCACAGGTGTGTTGATGTCGGCATGAGCGTCCACCCAGACGAGACACAGGTCAGGACACTGCTGAGCATGGCCGCTCACCGATCCAATAGCAAGGCTGTGAGAAGACCAGGAAATGGGTGAATACACTAACCAACCAGCTAACATTCTTTCTGCTATCTTACCTCTAGCATTCTTTCTGGACAGGCTTATATTATCTAGTAATCTTCAATGTTTTTGCATGGATAAATGTTGACACACACATATGACACACACATATTACACTGTTAATATGAAAACCAGATGTTATGTTGAGAGACTGGCATCGGAGTCTCAGTCTTTTGGCTCTTGTGTTTCAAATAGTTTCATATACATTCGATTTATCTTTACCTGTGGTCACCTCCGAGCATAACGAAGGTGTGTCCAGCACCAATGGCTCTGCTCACAGCGCCGGACAGAATCTTGTTGGCTGCCCCCACATTTCGGGGGAACTTCACTTCCATGTAAGGTTCATCCTTCTCAATGTGGGGAAAGTTCAGGTCTCCAAAGTCATGGACGGAATAGTCTGCAGGAAAATTTAAGATTTAAAAATATTTTCTGCAGTGTCACTATTTGGCATGAATCAGCAGTGGTTCAGTAGTTCAGTGCAGTTTGCTGATTATGGACATAACACAGCGTCTGTGACATGACAGGAAGCTGACATCTGATGATTTGTGATGCCCTGTGTAATCGTCTGGACATTACACTGATGTCCACGTTGATCTGAAGACTTCTACAGATGTCACATTGAAATGAAAAGCCAGCAAATATTTCTAGCAATGTCACTCACACCATCCTGACCCTGCAGTCAGAAGTGGCTGAATCATTCAATGCCAGTGGAACATTCGTGACGGAGCACTTTCCACTGGCACAGCTCACCTCTGTGGCTCGAGTTTCACTCAGTGCACGTCCACCACCGCTTGGTGGTCACAGGATTTAAACAGCAGAAAAATATTCTCACTCAGTTTGGGACATAGATTTTGAAGTAAACAAGTTATGTGATCCACCATATTTGGGGGTTCACATGGGAACATGATCCGCGATGGCAGTGTGTGTTACTCTGCTGATCCAGGGGTGTCCAATGTGGTGTGCTACCATTTGTAGACGGGGGACAGGAATAGCCCTTGTCTTGTTGCAATCGTGAACATGTATTGCAGAACAATTTAGACCATAGACTCGGAGCTAACAGAGGTTAATCTGGCTTATTATATTATTGAGGTGAAATTTAAATGGGCTGTAAAATCCCACACCAAACCGTAGAGTATGTGTGAATGTGGAGAAGACAGCACTCGACCAAGGTACGGTTTGGTTTCCTGCTCTGGACTCGCTCTGACTGTGACAGGAAAACTGCTGTTAATGTGTCATCGTGGCATCAGCAGAGATTTCCTTGGAATTTTTTTTTTATTAACACACTTGATGTTAAATCTAATAATTTATTAAGACATTTAAATCCTAAAATGGTACACACATAAATACTACTCTGCATTTTTAAATATTTGAAATAACTTCAGGATCATAGATCAAAAACCAACTGATAGCTAAGCGGTGGAGAACCAGATCTCATTCTCAACTCCGGTCCAGCTGTATCGTTTGCTCCTTGTTATTCCCCGACTCACTTTCCTATTTCCTCCTATTTCCTTTCTGTCTGCACCATTCAGCTCAATAAAAGTCATAAATATACAACATTACACCCAGGTAATAAACCCCTACTAACTACTAACTGGGTTAGTATTGTACAGAATATTGAAATGCCATCAAAAGCTGGTCTGACCTTCTGCTAATCACGATCAACAACAACAGAGACTGACTGCACTTATTCAGATAACAAGCAATAAATACTTCCTAAGATATATATATATATCTTGTCACGTGCCGTTATCTAAGGACAAATACATTTGACTGTTGTGCAGTTCACTGAACTCACCACAAACCTCTAACACCTGCCTGTTGCTATGTGTGGCCGTTTTAGCACACAATCCACGCGCCACCTGTTAATCACATGATGAGTTGGGTAGGAGCCATGCCTGTTATGTAACAGTGCAGGGTGTTTACAGCTGATGAACAAAACAGACCTGACTGTTTGAAATGTCTTAAGAAACATTAACTTTTTTTAAGCAACAATAAGTCAGATTATAAATGGATAATTCTAGAATTCAAAAGGCGTCCTGAACATGAGCTACACATTTTTCAAGGTTAAAAAAATACTAAGGACCAATAAAGGTTGGTCCGAGAGCAGCTGGTTTTGTTGTTGTGTGAGAAAAGTTTGCCTGATAAAAACAAAACTAAGTCAAACACGATTTTACTAAAATACCCAGAAGATTAACATTAAAACCTAAACAAAAAAATCCAAGGAGACAGCCAGGGAAACAGCAGCTGAATATACAGTATATATTGACCAAATAGCTGTAAATTTTTTAAAACTATATTGTAATGATTAAATTCAGCAAGTGGCACGGTTTGTTTGTTAAAAAAAAAAAATGAAAGTATATAAGGAATAAATGGCATAAAATATATGAAAAAAAAAAACACAAATTAAACTTGCTTATGTCCCATTAGAACAACCCCACAGCAGACAGTGTGGACACCAGGTCTGCTTGACAACAGCTTGTCCCTGGTCTGGTCTTCTTTAATCAAAAGAGTTAACAAAATATAAAAGAGAAAAGACTGTGTTTACTTTAGTTGGCCTCAGAGTGGTGACATTGTAATTTAATCAGTTAAAAAGAAGAAAACTAATTCAAGGTCCAGTATGACTGGCGTCAGTGGTGGTAACGTATGATAAACATTGCTAAGAATTTATCATACAAGAACTGAAGATACTGCAGATAAAGACCAGTGTGGCCTTAATCAGTAAACATGGAACTCTCTAACTGAGCACTAAATGGACCAGTATTTATGAGTCATACAAATGTCTCAGGCCATCATAGATGTGTTACTTAGCACAGCTATTATGGCCAAGTAATTTAAATATTAAATAACTGCAATATTTGGACTGCCAAGTTTAGATGTTTCTTGAATAATATTTGTGGAATTCGCATGGCTAGACACAAGCGGTCGTAATACGTAACTTATGTACAATTACATATCGCAAAATATGGCAGCACCTTGTACGAGAAATGTTGGTGAGCCAAAACGAAGGTCAAAAAGTTTTGAAACAAAATACGACGAGCCATTGGTGAATGTAAACAAATCCGTCTTCTTCAACAGAGTGAGGGAACAAGGCTTTCTTAATATATGTGTACTACTGTGAGTGTGACGATGTAACAGTGAAACAACGTAGGTCAAGGACATCGTAAGCAAACGCATGGTCTACAGAATATAAAAAGCATAGTTTTAAATGTAAATACCCGTCCTCTGAAATACAGACTGGGACAAACTGGGTAGATACATCCAGTAAAAACATGTTTCCACATTATATTCATTTTGCCCAATCATACTATAATTTTCAAGCAACATCAAGGGGGCACCATTGTGCTTTAGTTTTATTTTATTTTTTTAGCTTAAGAGTTTCTGGACTGGATAGTACTTTGTGTATTTCCTAGCACCTTCTTAGCCTGCTGTGTCCTTAGTATTTATATAGCACCTATCAGTCCAGCGCACCACAAATAGACTTTAAGTAGGCTGAGCTGAGTTTATAGTGACCCCACCAGACTCCCAGAATGTGGTGTAGAGCGGCCCATCTTTAAATAATGCATGCTGTGACCGCTGAAAATTCTACCTCGACTGTAGTCCTTGATGATGCAAATGCAAACTCAACGACCTCCTCCTGCAGTACGCATACAAAAGGAAAGAATTCTTTTCCGCCTGCGGAAGAGAGACTCCCTCCCATGCAGCACACACACACTTCCCTGCACCGCCCCTCAGCCTTTTGTCCTGTCTCTGTCTCACTCTGCAGTAGCTCATGACGACACAGTGGAAATTTTAATCTGCCACAGCCTAGCCCTCCCGCCTTCTGTACATGAGAGTGGGCTGACTCATGTGGTAGACATGTGGCTGTGATGAGAGTCAAATAAAAGACATAGGGGAAGTCACTATGTAAGAGGGAAATGACAGGACGGTGCTTTACCACATGTGCACAGCTGCACCTGTGATCTTGTATTTCCTCACAATAGTAGTTTTTATATAATATGAACTCACAGCTCATGGATACACAGGATATAAATTAACATTTACAAACTGGACATAAATCACTAAGACTGTTTGTTAGCAAGATTGGCTGCATTATCAAGTTACTTGTGTGACATATTGCCATCATAAACATTCCTTACTGTCAACTTCCCTAGTGTGAAACCTTTGATATTTCCTTTTTACCAATTTCCTACAGTCTGGAGATGGTGATTGGCAAAATGAAGAACAACCATTGTAGTCAGTGGTTGAACAATGAACTCATGTATGTGAACTTAAGTACAAAAGTTAGAGGTCAGAATTTACATTTCAAACTCCAAAGATATTCTTCAGATATTCAGCAGTTAAAGAGTGAACAACCTCAGGACAAACTAAAAGAACTCATGACAACAAGACTTAATTATGTTTTTTAAAAATAACAGTCTCATCATAACATAGTACCGTCACGCAATCTTACCCCAGATCTAAAAAGAGCATGTTTTGACGTTTGTCAGTTGTCCATTAACTTACTGTTGATGTTCTAATGTGTTGTTACAACAGCTGAAAATTGCTCTAATTATTTGCAAACATTTCCAAAGCTGCTGCTGAAATGACTGAACTCTACAAACAAGATGAAAGACTTAAGCTTGGACAAAAAAAAAAATCTGATTGCAGTGATGTTCAAAAAAAGGTGTTTGCTTCATGTTCATGTGTAAAAGATGCAACGGACCGAGGGCTGTTCGGAGGCAGTACTTAGCAGTATTTATTTGTTTAAGTGATATTACTGATTGTATTTTCTATTCTGCCTCTAGAAAATGGACATTTGGGTGACGACCCACTGTTTGAAAAATAATGTTCTAGGTCCCTTCTTTGAACAAGCAGAGGTGTTAGCAGTTGTGTCTGGATATACAGCTTCTTGCTGATGTAACCGGCTGCTGCTAAATCACCTTAAATCACCGGAGCTGGGAGAACTTAAATCTGTCACTAGCTGCTCTGCTGACATAGCTTCCTCTATCTACTCATCAATCGGTTATATAACCCGCCCTCACTCGGCTACATTAGGACTTAATCCCGCCCTGGTTCCATGGTCCCCTGGCTCCCTGGTCACCTACCTAACCCGGAGAGCCGCTCGATGAGTCCAGCGTCTCTGATCACCTTAGGTCCGTGCTCCACACCTCTCCTTTTCTGCCAGGAGAAAAAATACTCAGTCAGTTAGATGTTAAAAAATGAGATAACATTAAATACACACATGTATAAAGTCACGATCACAAATCTTTTCTTCATACCTGTCCTCGGGAAAAAGGAGCGCCAAGTACGGCAACTGACTGAGCCCGGATCTGCTGCTTCTGTGAGCGGCTAAGAAGAGTTCTGAGAAGACAGGACACTGGTCCTCTCAAAGCCATCTTTTTCTGTATTTCTGGTTCTTGTTGAAAGTAGTTGAAACCCAACTCTCTGGTCCTGATCACAGCCCTCGCGTGCTACAGCGGAAGAGTATGATGAAAGCCACGGTAGATGTTGCGCCTCTGCTGGATGTTGCTCTTATGCCAAAGCCGTCTAATTAATTATTCATGAGCTGATGAATCAGCGATGACACAGTCGCACAGTCACCACTGTTTTCTTGTGCCGACACAAAGAAACAGTGTTAAGACGAGATGCGCTATTTAATTTATCCGCGATCTAGCCGTTTTAGTCTGATATTTTCAAAAGGAACGTCCTGTTCTGTATATAGCCTGTGACGCCAACCTGTGACACACACCTTCAGGTCTGCCAATAGAAGAGTCGGAAAAGAGTGGGTTCGCCTGGGGGCGTGGTCTACAGCAACTCTGACGCAGTAGGTCAGAGTCAAAGACCAGTGGGTGTGTAGAAGGGTTTGTTTACAGGTGTTTTACTGCTGCCACAAGTGTGGAAATTTCCAGGGGGAGCAGTGGAGCGAATGATGACAGGCTTGTTTACTTTAAATGCCCTGGCCCTGATTATGTACGCGTGCGTGTTTATCTGCGTTTGTGTGTCTCGCCAAACAACTCGCACACAGTCCAAGAACGTATCTGATGTCAGATCAAGTACAGAGGCCTCATCTAAATTATCTAGGTCAGTCTCACCCAAAACCATGTATATGAAGATCTTAGTGGGTTCTAGACCGAGACAAGGAAAAAGAACAGAGTGGTTTTCAACATACATACAAATATATCAATATTCAAAACAAACAATCTCTTCCACTTAATTCATAAAGTAATAGGAAAAGTAACATAAGATTTTAAAAAATGCCATCATTCTCTAATATCTCTCTAGATCACATCATTTAATTACACAGGTAAACAGACAGTATCTTTGACATTAGATATTTTAGTATTTGTCATCCCATGAAATTGATAATAATCTAATGAAGCAATATGCTACTTGGAGATTACTAGCTGATGGGTGTGTTCACAAAACACAGAACAAATATAACATAGTATAAGTACAACATTTGATGTGATTTCAGGTATTGTGTAATCTTTGTTCCCAGATTGGTTGATCCAGCGGTTTTTTTGGCCACACATAATTTATCCAGTCAGAGCCGTGCTTACTTTGTTCACCCATATATCGTAAAGCCATACAGAGCTGAAGTGGGCTCTAGCAATCAATCCGAGCTGCCACAGTTTCGTAATATACAGGAGATGATCGGGATGTTGCGAAGCAGCACCGATTTACATACATTGTTTGCACAATGTGTTAACAAAATATTTCCTGTGAGTAAATCACAGTATGCACAAAATGAGATGCGAGTGAGACGTAGCCTGTAAAAGGCAGCAAAATACGGTATTTGGCGCCCCCAAGAGTCTTAAACGTTGCATTAACGCAGACAATAATTTTTATTTTTCATTATGCTTTTCACAGCTTTTTTTGACCTAAATTCGGTTTAACTCTTGCTTTTTATTTTGGATATCCTTTGGACTCTTGTCTTTATTGTCGGCATGGGTTAATCTGCTCCTGGGTCTTTCTAAGTTATCACTTGGCTTTTATTTATATTATATACTCTGTTTGCCAAAACATCCAAATACAAGCTATATTTTAGCTATTTTAATGCAAGTATATATATATACATACATATATTGTATATGCACATCTAGCCGATTTACTTATTTAATTTGTTTTGTGTAATGTTTTGCTGCATTTAAGTAAAAAAATTACAGTTACCTATATATTGGCTACCTTTCGCTGTATTCTACGTTTCCCTTTGTAAACTAGGTTTACGTTTGTGGAGTTTTTTTTTAAAAAAAAAAGGATTGTTAGCATTTTTTGTAGTTTCAACAAAGGTATTTGTTCTTCCTCAAGTAAGAATAGATTGACTTATGGTCAGGATCAACTACATTTTGATAAACGTACAATAATTATGTCACAATAGAAGACTAAAAATACAAATTAAATCAAATTTCCATTCGTTTTGCCATATGAGGAAGAAGCTAAATACATGTGCAATAGTGTTTTCCTGAAAGACAAAATACGGGGCAGAGGAATAGTACATCCTGCCATTACATCCCACAATTCATTTCGGCACGACTAGTAGGTCTCAGCTATTTGTACATACAGGGGTCTTTTTCCTCACCGGTCTAACATATTACGCTAATATTACGAGCTTATTTTACAACTTTTATTGCATTTAATGGACTTTTATTCGGAAAACACTTAGCCTGTTTCCATTTAACGTTAATTCAGCAGGTGAGTAGGTTTCCTGCGTGACCGTTACTGTTAGCTAAACTAGCTTGAAATGATGTTAGCTTACTGGAGCTAATTAGCTATTTGACAATAACGTGCTGCCTTTTCTGCTCAGCGGGTGCTCTATTTGTTTGGTTTGCAGTGAGAACAGTCATTTGGGCATCCATGTAATATTTCAAGACACAAGTAATGCATCGCGCAGAATATCATTTAAACACGTTCTTCTCGGTCTCCTGTTGTCTGTATGTTATCGTCCTCGTCTTCCTCAGGTTTCATCAGAGGTGAAAATGTCATTTCCTCCTCCACTCAATCCTCCACAACTTGGAATCCCACCTCCACAGTATGCGGGATTTGCCGCTACTGTTCCTCCAGGTACCGATCTCCCGTGCTGTCTCTTTCTAATTGATTGATTGTTGCGACCTTTACAGAACTCATGAATATTTTAACGATTTACTACATTTTCTCCGTTGTACATTTTGGGAATAATTTTGTCAATAAAAATTGTCCTGTAACTCCTGTCACTGCTGAATTCTCTTAAAATGTGTGAGCTAAAAGTCTTGGAAATCTCTAGAATCCCATTACTTATTATTAAAAACCATAGAAAGACAGCTTGAAATACATTTTAATTAAATCAATCCTTGCAGAGGAAGTGCTAGTTGACATTTACGTTCAAACATGTAACAGTGAAAATAGTTGGTTATTTGTTAAGTCTTGTATTGTTTTGTCATTTTCTTTGTATAGTATGTATATATCCAGATACTTCAGTGTTTGATTTTTGGTTTTATGTTTTGTTTCTATTTCCAGGTACTCCCATGATCCCAATACATATGGGTGTAGTGACTTCTGCACCCACAGTGAGTTTAGAGACAGGGCTTATTCTTACTGCATGGCAACTAAAGATTCAACTGTACTCAGTTATCTGTGATACTGTCTGTTTTTTCAGAAAGTTTACAATTGACACCACCAGTGCTCATGTTTCGTATATAATGAGCCCTGAAATTACTAAGGTTTGAATTGAATTTGCAGGTTCTCCTCCCAACTCCGGTTGCTGTTGCTCAGAGGCCAATGACTCCAAAGAAGGACTCAAATCAAATCAGAGCCAAGGATGCAGATGACGGCAGTGGGCCAACTACCACAGTATTTGTGGGAAACATCTCTGAAAAGGCATCAGACATGTTGGTCAGACAGCTCCTAGCGGTAGGGTGACTTCTCTAAAAATTAAATATTCCAGTAATTTAAGTTACATTTTTGTCTAACTCTAGAAAAACACACATAACATACGGCAAGACTATTACAACTGCTTAATTTGTGATTTATTAAATACTGTCTGCTGCAACATGATCTGTAATTATTGACTTCCTTTTTTCTGGGAAAGAAATGTGGGATAGTCCTAAGTTGGAAAAGAGTCCAGGGTGCCTCAGGCAAACTCCAAGGTAAGAACAAACAGAAATTTGCAATTTGACAAACGTCTTCATGTTGGGAGAACACCTGTAACAAATTTATTTTTTCCTCTGTTTCTAACCTGTGAAGCTTTTGGGTTCTGTGAGTACAAGGAGCCAGAGTCTACGTTGCGAGCCCTCAGGCTTCTGCATGAGTTACTTTTAGGTGATAAGAAGCTGTTGGTCAAAGTTGATGCCAAGACCAAGGCTCAGCTGGATGAGTGGAAAGCAAAGAAGAAGAGTGCCAATGGGGTATATGTTGTTTAGCTTTTAAGGAAATGTTAAAATAAGAAGATGGCCAAAATGTTTTATAACATCCATTTTTGTGGCCTCACCGTACAGACTGCCAGTGCAGCAAAGAATGAGAATGAAGAAGATGACGAGGTTCTCGATGAAGAAACCTTGCGTCGGGATCAGTTAGTGAAGGGGGCAATTGATGTCCTCATGCGAGAGTATGCAAATGAGCTGAACGCTTCCTCACAGGACTCTGACAGTCAACCTCGCAAGAAACGCAGGGAGAAGAAAGAGGAGGTTAGTCTTATGTTGTGAACATCAGGCCTCAGATTTCCAAGCTGCTGGTGTTTCTTTCTTTATGTCCACTACTGTGATGTTGATTTTTTTTTTTTGTTTTTACTTTCTTTTTTTTTTTTTGCTTGAATAGGATATTAATAATATGGAGTTGGAGGATGACAAGAGAGACCTGATATCCAGAGAGATCAGCAAATTCAGAGACACACACAAGGTAATGTATCAAACTGCTTTTGTTTTATCTAATTTAATTTAGGATAATTAAAGCTTCATATTTGTCTAACAGTTATTGGAGCTGTAGTTTGTAAGGAGACAGTTTTATTGTCGGAGTTGAATCCATAACAGCTAATAACATAAAACAAGAAATAGTTGATATTGCTTCAGCTACACAGGCCTCTTTTAAGGATTTCTATTATCAAATATATCAAATATTCTGATTGGTTTTTTTCTGTAACTCTTAAGTCAAAAAAAGCTTAGCTCTGCACCTATTTCTCAGAGTGCATGAATTCAATGTTAAATTCCGTCTAAAGCTAATCTATTGATTAAACCCCACCAATATGGTAGAGTTCATTTGGTGACTAGAGCGAGATGAATCTCAGAAACTCAGCTTTGGGAAAAGTTGCAAGGATAGGATGTAAGTATGATCCTTCTTTTCCTCATTACTTATGCTCGGCGCTCCCTTCTGGAGGGTTTGCAGAGGGGCAACTGGTTGAAGACTCATTTAAATGATAGAATTATCAAGTTCAGAAATTTTGATTTAAGCACTCCTATATAATGAGTTTGGATTTGAATTTAGAGGAAGTGACATTGATGCACTCTGTAGACAGCTCAGTGAACCTGTGCAGATCCTCATAATTAATGGTGTGTTTGAAGAACAGACACAGTCTGTACCAGTCTAACAACTGTTTAAACAGCAGCCTTTAGTATTCCTATTGTAGGGAGCGCCTTTTCACAGCACTCTGTGGTCTGAAGACTCATGAGGTCAGTCATTCTTTTTTTTATTTGGCTCAAAAACTACCTTTTACCTTTCTGTGACTTTGGAAGCAGCTCAACCCATTAGTTGTAGACAGCACAGGTGGAAATAGTAAAGTTAAAATGACAACAATTTTATACTATATTTATTTTGTTAACACTCAACAATCATCAGACTGCAATTTTAAACAGTTTTGTTTAATAAAAGTTACGTTAAAGTTTATTACAGCATCTTTGAAAACACTAATTAAAATAGCTCTGGTCTGACTTTGTCGGCTTTTAATTCAGATAATTCAGTTTCAGAAAACTAAATTTATCCCCTTCAGGTCATCAGTGGACAGAGAGAAGCAAATACAGGTAAATGAAAAATAAAATATTAGAATAAAGAATTAAGGAGATTAAGATAAATGAAAAGTTAAGATTGCAGCAGCAACAAAAGAAGTAGTGACAGTTATTGAAGTGACACACAAACACTTTGTGGGCTGCAGTGGCCAATGAGACACGAGAAGAAAACCCTCAGGTAAGACTTGTTCTTCGCTTTCCTTATGACAAAATGGAATACACTATGTGACCTTTCACTCCAAGAATAGAAAACGGTTGACGAGCTGTTCATGATGTATGTGACTGGGCGTTAATTGCACTGCTTCACAGGTATAACTTGGACTTCTGTCGTGATTTTGTCTTGATCTGCTGTTCCTCTGACACACAGCCTTTATGTTGTGTAGTGGCAGAGAAGTGCTGAAAAAGACCATAGGGCCTCAACTGTAAGTCACACACCAGTGGACCCAAAACCCTTGGTAGAAAAGTTACATATTTAGACCATTACAGAAAACCCCATGCATCGTTTAATGTTTTTCGGATGTTCACGGGGAATATACACGAGAGCTGATGATGTTATTCACTGATTTGGACCATTTGCGGTGCTAAACTGAAGATCGTTTTAATACACTTTGCATGTGTGTATGTTCATGTTCTTTGGTGTATAGTTGACTGTTCAGAGAACTCATTGACTTAGAGATTATTAGTGGTAAACAGTTTTAGGCATTTCAGTTTTAATTTTTCTCTCTATACTGTAAAAAGTCACACACACTTCTAAATTATTGAATGCACATTATCTCTGTGATCTCCAATCTCCTCATTGATATAGAAATTGAACAGATGTACTTTTGACCAGTAAGTATTTGCCAGCAGGTGGAATCATCTTATTATATCGCAGCCCAATACAAGCTAAGGATCTTGTAACTGTAGAGGACACATTGATCACTTTACTCTTATTTCAACAAAAACCCCAGCAATATTAAAGGAAAAAACATCCAACCAACAGAAGAGTATATTGGTGGGTGGTCCAATCTCCGTATCTAGTTAAAACTGTAATTCTTTTGGTTTTATTTAAAAAATGAACTGCAATTTTTGATTTCATGCAAGTGTTTCCTAAATTGAGTGTCTTCATTAAACCTGCTCAAGCAGAGGATTACTTCCTGGAGAAAACGTCAGGTCTAAGAGGAGCTTCTCACTCGCAGCGTCCAGCCTATTCCTGGCACTGAGTCATGGCAGTATGTGAGCATGTGTGACCCAGGAAGTCTGACCCATTTCTCTGTATCTTGTGCTGTTGATGTGTTCATGTTTATGTGCAATGGAGGTCTTTTTCTGTTTGAGTGTAGTAACACATTCTCAATTTTTTTCCTGTCTGGCTCCTGCAGAAACTGGAGGAGGAGAAAGGAAAGAAAGAAAAGGAGCGTTTGGAGCTCGAGAAGGAACGAAGGGAGAGGGACAAAGAGAGAGAGCGCGAGAGGGAGCGCCGCGACCGTGAAAAAGAGAAGGAAAGGGAGAGGGAGAGAGATAAGGAGCGGGAGAGAGACAGAGACAGAGACCGGGAACGGGAACGTGAGCGGGACAGAGACAGGGAACGGGAGAGGACAAAGGAGAGAGAAAGAGAGAGGGAGAAGGAGAGGATCAGAGACGTCAGTGTTGATCGCAGCAGATCGAGGTCAGTTAAAGGGCCGTGTTGGCGAAGTTTGTCAGCTGTCTTCCTTTTTCATGATGTCATATTTGTCAAGATGATCTTTTAACTAAAGTGTGACTGCAATGTTATATTTAACAAATTTACTAAACTAATATAGTTTAGTAAATTTGTTTTTTTTTGTTTGTACAAAAATCTTAAATGATATTTTACAGTATTTACAAAAATCTTAAATGATATTTTACAGCACTGTATTACAGAATAACATAGCTGTAGCTTTTAGCTATACCCCACAACAGAACTCTGGAATAAGACTTACTTTTGTATGGTTTCCACAGAGAGACAACGAGAGAAGATAAAACAAAAGAAAAAGAAGGAGATGAAGAGGATATTTACGAACGGAGGAGACTTGAGAGGAGGCTCAGGGACAAGGAGGCAGCGTATCAAGAAGTATGGCTGTTGGGTTTGTAACAAAATAAATACCTAAAATTGACTAAATTAGTTCACTGAATTAGTTGTCTTTGTTTTATTTTAGCGCTTAAAAAACTGGGAGATTCGCGAGAGGAAGAAGAGTCGTGACTACTCCAAAGAAATGGAGCGTGATGATGAGAGGCGTCGTGAAATGGTACAGATAAATGTTTAGATAATAAGTGCCTTTGGTTTAAATTAAAAATGATGTCAACATCAATAATTGTTTCACTCAGATGAAAGAAGCCAAAAGACTCAAAGAATTTCTAGAGGATTACGACGATGACAGAGACGATCCTAAATACTACAGGTAACACGCTTTATGTTCGTATGGGTGAGTGAGAAGTACTGTTTGACCTTTTTTCAAATGACTTCACACTCTTTAATTGTTGTTTTCAGAGGCAGTGCTCTGCAAAAGCGACTACGTGACCGAGAGAAAGAGACGGAGTTGGATGAGCGAGACAGGAAGAGGGAGAAGGAGGAGCTGGACGAGATCAGACAGAGGCTTCTTGCAGAGGGTCACCCGGATCCTGATGCTGAGCTGAGGAGGGTATGTCCTGTAAACGGCCAAAATACATTGTTTGATTTGCACAGAGATTTTTTGTTCTTATGTTTTCAGTGAGCACTTTGTTGAGTCATCTATAACCAGAAGTGTTTATTTCCCCACATCCCTCTTGTAAAAGAGATATCTGCAAAAACTGAAACTCCAATTGCTTTAAATTTAACACACATTCACTTGTCCTGCCTATCGAAAAAAACTGATCTGGTTTTGGGGACCCACAAATAAAAACTTTGGCTTATTTGTTTTTATGTAGATGGAGGAGGAGGCAGAACGCAGACGCCAGCCCCCTCTTAAACTTGAACCTGAGGAGGAGGTAAAGCAGGAGAAAGCTCGTAGAGATCGGGATCGAGACAAGAGAAGGTCGGGGAGGCCGGTGGAGCCGGCGCCCTGTAGTCCTCAGCAGCCTTCAGATGATGAGACAGAGAAAGGACTGGAGAATGACTTTCAGGACAGGGAGGATTCACCTGAGGTCAAACTTCAAAACAAACCCATCATGCGACCCATCAGCTCTGCTCCTTCAGTTTCCTCTGCCAGTGGGAATGCCACTCCGAACTCCCCTGACAATGAATCTCCCTGTGGCATCATCATTCCTGGTGAGAACACTCCGGAAGTACAACCTCCTGAGGAGCTTCGGCCTAAGATGAGTCTCAGTCTCAAACTGGGTGAGGACAGTCTTTCAAAAAGGACTCATTTGGATCTTTGATTGATTGGTTTGATTGTAATAGTTTAAAACTTTCCTGTATTTCTAATCCAGGTGCCACCAACAGTCCAAGTCAGCTCAGTGTCGGAAAAAGAAAGAAGCTGGTGACTTCAGAAAGTGTCTTCAACAAGTTTGATGACGAGGAGACTGACGAGCAGCCTCGCAAAAGGAAACTTGTTCCTCTGGATTACGGTGATGACGACAAGAGTCTGGGGCTGGACGGAGCAGAAATTCCTGTGGCCAAGGGAAGCATTAACACAGAGGAGAAACGAAAGCACATAAAAAGTCTAATTGAGAAAATTCCAACTGCAAGACCTGAGCTCTTTTCCTACCCTCTGGACTGGGCCATGGTTGACTCGGTAATAGGTTTTTCACTTTTATAATTTTAGCCTTTAATAACTAATGCATCTCACGTTATTATAAAGGTGAAATAATGTGGATTTCAATTTATTTGGAATTGAGTTTTGTGATTATTTTTTTCCCCCTCCCCTTCAGACTCTAATGGATCGTCGCATTAGACCCTGGATTAATAAGAAGATTATAGAGTATATTGGAGAGGAGGAAGCAACACTTGTGGATTTTGTCTGTTCAAAGGTAATTATTTATTCTGTTAGAGTTCTTTATTACTCTGTGCTCAATTCTAAGGTCCTTGTCTGGCCTCCCAAGTTAGATCTGGTCTACAGTTCCTCATGTGTATTACAGATGTCCATTTGTTTTTTCAAACATTCTTCCGTCTTCCTCAGTGGTGTCTGAGGAAGATGAAAAAGAGTGTCAAAACACGTCACAGTAAAAAACACATAGCCTTGTGTTAGGATGCTACCTGAACAGGGGTGTCCCTGCCTGTCTTCAACAACTCTTGAAGAGCTGATCTTCTGAGACTATCTCCTGCTCTAGTGTTTTCCTGTACTTCCCTCCCCCATGTCCTCCTATCTCCTACACTTGTCTCCACTTCTGCATCCTCACCCTCTGGAAGCCCTGCTTTCCTAACTAGTGTTCTCCTTTCAAGAGTTATTCTATGAAGCTTGATTATTAATACTCCTCCTAAAAGCATCAGCTAAATGCATAAATGTAAATGTGTTGCACAGCATCCTGATTTTCATTTGTGCTCATTCTTGACCAGAGTAAATGCATGTCTTTAGACAATTTATTTTTATTAACTGGATTTTTTTTTTCTTAGGTGATGGCACACAGTACTCCTCAGGGTATTCTTGATGATGTTGCTATGGTAAGTTTTAACAGAAATGTTTTAGAATTTGCTTGGTATTGAAATAACTGAGTATACTTTAGTGGCCTCTACATGATGTTGTCTCCAATTGCCATCTTCAGGTCAAATGTTTTGTTGTGCTGTATTTTAGTAAAAACTATGACTGTAACTGTTGATCACTGTAGGGTGCAACTGTTGTCATGCTAAACTATTACAGTAAAAACCCTATATTGTGAGAGTGTAAGCATTTCAGCATGCCAGGGTATTGCATCGAGTCCACCAGCTGCCAAGTTACCACTGAGGTGCTCTGAGTATGGCACCGTCCCCACACACTGCTCCCTGGTCCTTAAAGCTGTTCACTTTGGTGATGGGTTAAAAGCAGAGGTCACATTTCGTTGTGTGCAGTGGTGTGCTGTGTCACAATGACAAGTAGTTCTTTCCTTCTTGACTTTACTTTCTGACCACAATTTGGCTGAAATAGGACTTGACCTGTGATAGAAATACAAGGAAATAACTTTTAAATAACACAGCTTGACTTGTTTAGTTGAAGCTTGTGCAAAGTGAAGGTGAAAAAAAAACTAATGTTATTCTGTTGCAGGTGTTTTTTCTATGCTTTTACATTAAGTATTATTATTTTCTAACCAATGTGTTTGTTTTAAGGTTCTTGATGAAGAAGCAGAAGTATTCATAGTAAAAATGTGGAGACTTTTAATCTATGAAACAGAAGCAAAGAAGATTGGACTGGCAAAATAAAGATGGAATGTATTTGCAACTGACTTCCTTAGCTCACACTTCTTCCACCTACACTTTTTTTGGTCTAGCAGACTGTAAACATGTGCCCAGGCACCTCACCATTCCTTAAGCAAAGAGCTGTGGCCTTGGATATTTCTGTTTGTAAAAGAGAACGTGTGACTGTTGTGTTTGGAAGGAGAAAGATTGTGTTGCAACAATACAGAAACGCACTGCATGACAAAATCCTGAATGTGTGATCTTTTCATCAGCTTTATTTCTTCCATCCATTAAGTGAGTTACATTTGTTTTCAATAACAGTCATCCTGGTGTGGCACTGCTCTGTTGTGTGAACTAATAAATATTCTTTTTTTTTTTAAGAAAATGTGTCTCATGGCCTTTTATCATGGGTTAAGGTGTTTCACTGGGATTTCAGCAAGCTTACCCTGGACCTGGTTGCAAAAACACCTGTACAGATTTAATGGAGAGCAATTTACTTGCAAATGAAAAAATATTGTGTTGTTTGCCTTGCTGGTGTAAAGTCAAGTTTGTCCACATTACGTCCTTCTTTAACAAAATGGGTTAAACACATTTAAACATCATGACAATTGACCGATGCTGATAAAATCACAATCTGTAATTCTAAACATCACAATTTAAAAGGCATAATTTTGTTGCGTGATCACCTAGTATAATGAAACCCAAATACGCAAAAATGACTATAAAACAGTGAAAGCCATACCTAGACCTTTGGAAAGGTGCATTAACCCAATGGGTAGAAATTAGATTTACGTTGGAGCTAATTTCAGCTGCACACAGCGACAAGTCAGAGATCTCAAATAAACTTTTGCAAAAGTAACACATATGTAGAAACAGAAAGTTGAATCACCTTTTGATAATTAAAAGTATTAAATATGTTTTATCAGTTAAGTAGATGCTCATGAGAACGTATTTCAATAACATTTCCCAGTGCATAATTTTGACCTCGCTCTCACACAGTACGTCATTAAACACTTTTGAACGTGCCGAAACCCCGCCCCTTTCAAGCCGCGGGAGCACGCGGTGACGTGGCAGTGGAGTGGCGACAATCCACTCTGACCCGGAAGTTTTTCTAAATGGTAACAAACAAGAAGATGTGTCGGTAGGCGTTCTGTAAGCTGCTAACCAAGGCGGAAAGTTGCAATATTCTATCAAACCACACACCTTAAGGTTATACACAATGTGCGTTTTCTTCGTTTTAAATGCGAAGGTCGGCGCGTCAGCGTTGTTTCGTTTGTGAAATTCGAATGTTGCCTGAATACGGAAGCGAGTTAGCTTAGCATCGCTAAACCAACACAGGGCCAGAGACTTAAGGGACTCGTAGGTGTTCGGTTCCCAACTACGTCCCTTAGTGGTCGAAGCACAGTCGGGAATGTTGCTACACTTGATCAACACGAAAACAACTTCCTGCTAATAGAAAAAAGTGTATGCGGAAGCATTTTTTCAGTTGTTTAATATCACCAGATTAGTTGAAGAGAGAAGTGCAGACATGGACGATTTCAGCTCCATTAGCCTGTTGTCTATTGCGATGTTGGTGGGATGTTACGTGGCTGGTACAATACCTTTAGCGGTCAACTTTTCAGAGGTAAGTTTGTCATAGTTTAAACATACTAGCGTACGAGTTAAAAGTATTTGCAATTTTTCATTTGAACATTAAGAAAAATGTATTTATATCTAAAACGTTTCTAAAACTAAACTCCATCTTGATATTAGTATATTTAATTTGTTGATATGATACAATTCCGTTGTTAAGTACATATGTAGTCCCTATAATTATAAATTTGGTTTTCATATTTTGAAAGTATTTAACTGTTGAACCACTGTAAAGTACAATACCGGCATCACACTCCAAAAATGTCAAGAAAGAGACCAAAGTCAGACTTGTAACATTTTGGGAGGTTCCATATATGCAGTTAAAATGGGAAAAACGTTAACTGGTCATATTTGTCTTACCAGAGCATTCATAATCACCTTTTGCTGAATTAAAAATGAAAATTGTCTCTGGTGTTTTAAAATTTCCTTAAATAAAACATCCCTTGTTCACAATACAAACAGCAATCATTGTGGTACTTTTCAGAGCCCCCACAAGGCTTTCTATAAATCTGGATTTTGTATCATATGAGGTTTGCTTCTGTCGAAGCTCCTAAACACCAGGGTGGTTCTTCAGGTTCCCACAGCAATTTTTGCTTTTAGTGTCCTAGTTTCTCCAGCAGAAAATACACAAACCTTAAGAATACTTTGGATAATATTTGGATGGAAACATTTTCTGTATATGTAGTGGAAGAAAGTAATTTAATCCATATATAGACTATATATAAATATGCATGTGTTTGTTTGTTACATAATCACCAGAGAGACAGGTCCTGACGGTCATTTTAGACCCTGCTTTTGTTCTCTAGTCATGGTAGCATCTCATCTTCAGAGGCCGGCGAGACTAAAATCCCTCCATGCAGGTTAGCTAACTCTGTCAAAACCACTTTCTGAAACACAGTAGGACCAAGTGTAACTCTCCTTTAACCCTTGCAGACTTGTTTTGACAATTGTTCTTGTTACTGTATTGTGTTAGAATGTCATATCTCTAATACATTCCTGTCTAACTCTGACAGACTGACTTCATTTATAATGTCTGTGCCCTTGAGCAACTGGCACCAATGTTTGTTTTTTTAGCATAATTGCAAATTTGCTCTTCATATTCACTGTCATTTCCATATTTCTTGAATGAATAACACACACAGCAGACACCTCAGCAGCTGCAGCAGCATTTTCCATGTTTAACAGCTCATTGCTGTCACCTTGTACCTATATGGTTTTGAGTTCAGTCCTATTATTTTGTAGCCAACATGCCACTTCTCGGGCATAACAGCTGCCTGTGGCTAAATAGCAACACCTGTTGTTTAAAGCCCATGGAGTGTTCCCTACTCTAGTGTTTAGTGGCATTGTTGCAGAAATGTCTTACACTTTTGACTGAGAATATTCACAAATATGATTACACTCATTTCGTATGTGATTGTTTTTTATTCAAACATTTTGTTCTACACTTAATGTCACCAGGACACACATCTGTTGAGACAAAACTATAGACAATGTGTTTCTTCCTGATTCAATTCCCTGTCTTTCAATTGTTACTCTGATCAAAGACAAAAAGACCAAAGTTTTTTTCTGTTTTTTTTTTGTCTTTAGGAAAGACTGAAGCTGATCACAGTGCTGGGAGCTGGGCTCCTCTGTGGAACTGCACTCGCTGTCATAATTCCTGAAGGAGTCCATGCACTTTATGAAGAAATCCTTGAAGGTATATTTCACCAACACAACAGACAAGGACTGTCAGTGCTGCATCATCACTGCTTCAATTTGATTCCAAGACTTGTACATTAAATCAAGTTTAGTCAGTTGAAAAGTGGTGTTTTATTGAAAATACTTTAACTATATTATAAGCATAATACTTTTTTATTCTCCATAAAGGTTTTTGCTTTAATTTATTCATGTAAGTTCCTGCTGGTTTTTTAAACATTGTTTTTAGTCTCGGTGGTTGATTGTATTAACCAACCTAAGTGTGCTCATGTGTGAACAACACTGTTTTCTATGAAGATGAATTACCTGTTGGTGAAGAGTGTTTATCAGATCAGATCACAATGCACAGAGCATTATGATCTGATAAACTCTCTTCAATAAATTCACAGAGCATTATGATCTGATAAACTCTCTTCACCAACATTGTTTCCTGATATCGTCCTGCGTGAACTAAGGCCATTTGACTTTGCTTTGTTTAAACTGTGTCTCAACAGAGCAAA